TATTCATTTTAACAGAGGAAACACTTCCTCCAACACAAGTCACATGAAGATCTGGATTCAGTTTTTTTTTTTTTTTTATGCCTTTTTTAATTCCAAGAACTTTAAACACTCGTTCATATTTTGAAAAGCAAAATAATTGCCAATTCTGCTCAAGATTTCAAATTAAAATTTTACCGTGTGTCATCAGTCCCCCCTCTGCCCACAAATGAGTTTAATTAGTTTGTGAGAAAACGACAGTCAGAAAGATTCAAACTGCCTCAGTGCACCCCAGTCTTTAAAACACAAGATTGTTCTCAAGTACACCAATGAAGCTGCCTCTGATTGTTTTTCCGTCCATTACATTTCACAGTTTGAGAGAGAAACTAATAAATTGAGCCTATAAATAAAATGTAATTAATGAATGTACGGTATTTATACACACTGGAAATCTGGCTTGAAAATGAGAGATTTTACACCTGGGATTCATGCATACAAACTTGCAAAAAATTTGAAGAATGGAGGAAAGCGTGAAGATTTTGGTTGATGTTCAATAATGTCATAAACTTTGCTGATTGGTTCTGAAGGTTTCTGTTTAGTCTTGCTAATTACACACAGATGCAGAACTTATATATATACAATAAGTATATACAAAGGCATGCATGCATTGTTCTTACTGTCCATGACGCATTCAAGTATGTAACATTGTCAGTTTAAAAAACATTTATCGCTGACATCAAGCGCTGTACAACTTTGTAATGATGTTATGATGAATCTGTGCCTTGAAATACAAAACCAGGACAATGTGAGAAGTGAAACGTCAGGGAAAGCCTAGACAGATCACCTGCTCCTGGCTTACTGTACTTCAAAAGCAATTAAGCCTGTTTGAATCAATGCCCTCGGATTCAAAAGAAGATTTTAATGACACCTCTAGGCAAAGCTGTTTTTTGGGGCTGTGACAGTAACATCAATAATGATCTATTGCAGCAACTTGTCTTCTAAGATTCCCCAGATATCTCTAAAAACTGTTCTGGGCTTCACCAAGTTGGTCTGAGACCAATGAATTCAAAAACGAAAACGAACGATTGGACATACCAGGACACAGTTATCTCCCGAGAGCCTCTCTTCCCTGTCGACTGGAGAGTACATCAAAATATTGCCACAAACCAAGCAAGGAAAAGATGATGTTATTATTGGTCCTCAGGAAATAAGAGACGGTTGGGGCCAAGAGAGCTCAGAAGTCAGAAGCAGACTCGATTACAAACTTGGAAACTTGCCCCCGCTTCGTCTTAGAAGATTTGGCTTTACCAATCTGAGGGAGAGGGGGATGAAGAGGGAGAACGTGTGAGCTGACTTGATAGCTTTGATATACTTGTCAGTGTGAGGGACTGAGTAATAAATTATCAAAGTTTACTGTCCGTGCCTTTATATGTTTATAGCCCAAATAACAGGAATGTTTTCAACATATTTCAACATTTTATGTTAAAATATAATACAAATATGTGTTTATAAAGGGAGCACATTAATTTTTTTTTATGTTAATTTTATTTCACATATAAAGTTGTTTATCTGAAGACTGACTGAACACTGCCTAAGACCAAACTTACGGTAATTAAAATGTTTCCAGTCAGAAGAATTTACTTATCTTAAATTAATATCCACCTACTAGCTTTTCCCCCCATGCTTTTAAATCATGTCTTGTGGTCTTCGTCAGCAAATTGAGTTTGCTCAGTTGACAGATGATAACAGTTCAGTATCATGTGAAGTTCCATAATTGACAACCGAGTTATTTCCATGACAATAGAAAAACATTTCCATGAGGTATGGTTGAAAACCTTGGGTAAAAAAGCGATGTAGATCTCAAGTTAAGATCTTTTCTTACCAAAATGTATGTATTTTGGTTACAATATCTTTCAGTGACAGTCACAAAGCATTTCACAATTAAGATTACCAACATACAAAACATGGCACATGCAACATGAATCCATCTTTTCAGTATATGGAATAGATTTGTCCCACAAAAAAAATCACTTGGAGCCTTTTTTGTTCTGACTGCTGCCTGATGAATCCTCAGAAAATTGTTCAAGAAGAAAAGATACTCTTCAAAAGAAATTTAGCTAGATTCAAAGGAAAGTTTAATGAGGCACTCTGCGTTCTCAAGTAATAGCTTGGAGGCGCTATACTACATTGTGTTTTTATTATTTTAAAGATGATGCCAATTGGGTCTAAAATGGTCATATTTTTAAGTAGTAATTTACTTTATAAGTAAGACAGAGGATTTTAGAAGCAAAAGTTATTGAAAGAGCTGCTTTTTTGTTTCAGATTTGTGCAGAGATACTGTTTTGCATTCCCAAAAGTCAGCTCAGTTACAAGGAAGGCTTTGAGGTAAGATCATTAAGAGATCTGAGGAAATAAAACCATATAAGCCGCATATGGTACTAATATAGGAATTTGCTACCCAAGCTGAGTAAAGATGAGTGTATTGGTGCTTATATATTATGCCATAATCATGAAATCATAATAATAAAATCAAGTACGACACACGGTCCTAAAACAAGGGAGAACTTGTAATGCTGTCCAGATCTCCCTTCCTTTTTATTTATTTTTATTTCACCCTGTATCTCTGACAAGAGAGAAACGGACTGTTTGCCCCCCACCCCCAACACAACAATTTGCATACGTGGCATTGTTGCTGTGATTCTTCATTAATCAGTGGCAGGTGTTCTCGTCACAGCTGGTTAACTCATGCTGATGTGAAAGGCTGTCAAGCTTCATTGTCTGCCATTGGCTGCTGCAGTCTGTGGTGTGTATTCGGTGTGCCACATCACACAGTTCAGGTGCCACAGACACAAACAGGCCACCTGGGTGCTCGTGTCAGCCAGAGGCCTTGCTTTACATCTGTTGGTGCTACCTATTTGTTACTATTTTACTCCCTGTTGAGCAGAGATGGAGGAACGTTCTACATTAGTATAACAGAAGAGATTAGAGTGAAATTGATTAGAAGGCAGAAACAATGAGAAATGGAAGCTGGAGTTTTGTTTTATTGTTTCATGTGTATGTGTGCCATGCTGTGCTATGCCTGTAATGTTCACTTTCTAAGCTCTGTACTTAGGCACAACAGTGCTCGAGCTAGATAACATGGGCTAACATGCTCACAATGACAATCCTAACATGTTGATGTTTAGCAGGTACGTTATAGTGTTTACCATCTTCACCTTCTTAGTTTAATGGGTTAGCATCCCAGCATTTACTAATTAATTTGAAATGACATAGATTTGGGTAAAAAAATCAACATATTACCAATTAATATTTGACCTTAAGAGGAGGCTTCAGTCCTGAGGGGGGCATGAATGTCTGGACTGTACCAAATTCCATGACAAACATTTCTGTTGAGTCTCCAACATCCTCCTTGATCCATCCTTTGGGTCCCTTGATGTCTCTACAAATTTTATGGTAATCTGTCCAACAGATGTGGAGATGTTTCAGTCTGGACCAAAGTAAGATTACAGTAAGTAGTTCATAGCATAATTCCAAGTAGAATCTTCCTTTAAAAGTAAATCCTGCATGACTCAATTCTCCTCAAATAAAATAAAAAACAACAACTCTGTGCCAAAAGAGAAATCAAAACTTTTAATGAATGCATTTTCTATTACAAAAGAAGCATTTTTAGCTCTGCACATTCTGTATAACATAACAGCATGACGGGTTCCAGCTCCAGCTGGTAGTGCTTGCCGTGCTGTTTTGTTTTTCCAAACATTTTCTTTCAAAAATGTTTAGCACTGAGACGCTGCAGTGGCCTGTCGGAGGGTCTGAGATTTTGGCAGGTTGTTGTATTACACTGTGTTTTCTTCTGTTTAGCTCCATCACAATGTGTATAAGAGGGGAGTGCTGTAAAGAAATCAGTGCGACAACACTGTCATTGCAACTTGCATGACAGTACCTGGCAGCAACTGTAAAGCCTTTCTATCGCTGCTGTTTAGTTATTTTTTTGTCACTACTGTACTCGCTTGTCACCATCATAAAAAGCAAACGCTGCAGAAGCTGCACTAACCCATGAGGACCGTTGCTCATATTCATCTTTTATTCCTTTTTCCACACAACTGATGTCAACCCTCAGATGCATGATCCTTCAGTTTGAGAAATTGGACAATGCATCAGGGCAATCTGAAAATAGATTGTGTTGAAATTTTGTGCACATCAAGCACAAACACTGTATGACTGGATCACAAGTAATTTGCCTTTTTATACAACAGTGTGCCTCAGTAAAATGATTCAGGGACTCCTGCTGTTCATTCCCCAAAACCTATATGATTCTCTATTACAAAGCCCCTAAAAATACAGTCTTCTGCCATCCAGTTTTGGAGCTGATGCAGCATGCAGACATCACTGCCTGAGTGAAGGATAAGCCTCCATAGAAGCAGCGTTCCCTCAGATGTATTTGAATAAGACATGATGCCAGTTTATTTTTGTAGCATCCTCCACCCCAGACTCTTGGCAAGCAATGGAGTTGTGACTAACCCTCTTCCAGTTTCCACATTAGGTGTAAGAAAAAGAAAAATACTGAGTCTATGTCTATGTGCAGTGGGGCTTATAACTTATCAATATACAGTATTAACCATTTCACACATAAGAGCCAGAAATGCCAGCATAGCAGTGGTATATCACCAGCCCCTGGGGGGAGGGATTCCTCCTGTGAATCTGAATGGTGTGCATCCAAATTAGAGTTCATTACTTTACACTGACACACTTTTCCTCAGCTGCATTTTCAGCCCGTGCTCTTTGATGTTAAATAATGAATAGGCGTCACACAGCCACACTGCTCATGAAGGTGTCTATAGCCAAGAATCTCTGTAAGGCATTTGACTCTTAGGCCCTGTCCAAACTGCTGTGTTTAAACCTGGCTGGCTGTCCTTGAATGTCTCGTGGGGGGCACATGAAGGCACACGCTGTGAAAATACAAAGAGAGAAGCTCTTACAATCTCTCATCACTGAGTCATATTCACTGAAATGTCCTTATTTTGCAGGTCTGGACTCAGTGTTGCCTGTCTGCGCGAGTAGACACGGCAGAGAAAGAGGGAAAGGAGATGGTCGGCTGAGGTGTCATAGAGGATGTCACCACTACAAAGCTCGTCCAGTATGCAGTGTGGTCTTCCCAGCTGCGCATCACCAGTGGTGCCATGATCCAGTTATAACTGTGGGTGAGCATCCAAAGCCTTTTTCATTCACATGGTTGTTTTAATTACACACAAGCAATGGTATTAAAGGGCCATTCCACTTTACACATGAAGGTCAGCTTACTGGTCATAAGGAGTGCTACTCAACCTCTGAAATCAGTTTTGTTTTCTCTGGATGACCTTTGTCAGTTTGAGAAAATAAGCCTGATGATGTCATAGTGATGTCATCAGTGTTATCTTGGCTTTGGATTAGGGACTATAAATGTCTCATTGCAAACTAGAGGTGAGGAGTTTGAAAGATGTGGGCATTTACCAGGCAGCGAGGGTCTATCAAAGGATGCTATCAGGTTGCATTGTGGGAAATGTAGTTTTGGGATCTTGACTTACAATAGGGACTGAAAGGATATCTCAGCTTCTGCTGATTCCATTTTGACCATTCTAATTTTAATCCATCTTTTGCCGTGGTCCAACTTTATGAAAGTGGAATATCCCCGTAAAGTCTATTAAATGCCGTCTGTATTTGCAGAGCGATCCGCCTTGTTGAAATTGGCTTTTTGGATAAAAGAAAACATACTTGGGTAAAGAACTGACTAGATCGAAAAAGGTTTTTCTAGGTTTTCTGGGAGAAAATTCTAGGTTTTCTCCTTTTAAAAAAGCTATCATTTTTCAGCAGCCAGATACTTTCTCCCATTACTAAGTGCATATTTACAAGGTCAAAAAATCCATTCCGCATAAAATGTAAGCAATAGCAATGATGTCTTTTGGGTAGATGTTTGGCATGAATGGGGATTTGTTCTCTGTGAGTGCCTTCCAGATTACATGAACTACTTTTTCTTTTTTTCTTTGGAGATGACTATATTTACTACCTATCAACTAGAAATTGGTTATTACATATTTATAGGCTGTTATGGGTTGTTTGCATTTCTGGCATTTGTAAGCGTCTGTAAAATAGCTGTATTTCACGTTATGATGAGATGGTCTACAAGGCTTATTTTTTCCAACTGTAGCATTAACATGGTCAAACCTTTTTCTTTCAAAAAGCACATTTGGTTTATTTTTGTTTATGGGGTTCTAGAAGATTGTCCATCTGTCCCCCATATCTCCCATCAAAAACATGGCTCAAAGGGATGCAGTCACTGTGCTTATCAGAGTCCCATACCATCAGGACATGGACATGGAAGGGTCTGGGTAATGTCTTTTTCTGTACAACTTCTTATACTTGTACATAAGCGTGCAGAACCATGCACAATAATATTTTCCACTGAGGACTTTGTAAATCACCTTCCCCCTTGAAGTAGAAAAAAAACTGCTTTAAAACAGGAGTACCAATTTCTTTATCAGCAGGAAGCATGTACGTATATGGTGTAGGGTTTGTGTCACAACTATTCATACTTAAGCCATTCTTACCCGATGGCTTGGGCATTAATGGTATATTTATTTACAGAGCTCAATAAACATAATTGGCATGTACAATTATGTTAAGCCTCCATATTCTGCCACCTTCTCAAGCAGTGGGAGCAGGATCACTGTGGGGAATGTGATGACTTGTTTCCTCATGTGTAAAGCTGAAATGAATACAGCAAACACCTGTGCTCACATTATGTCTGCTTTTCTCCTTTGTTTAATTGAGCACATCAGTTAATAACTGCATTTTTCCAGTTAGGGCTCGGCGTAATGCCAGAAGCCTATTAAGGAGGAGGAGAGACAGAGCCTGGGAGAGATGTGGAGGTCTGTCATCCTTAAATTCAATGTAAATGAACTGCATGGCAATGAAGTGCAGTACAGGGAGTGGACGCAATCATAAGAACGTCAGTTATGTTCTCCAGTGTTCATTTGTCCTTTTCATAACAACTTCTGGCAGACTTTTACATAAAAATGCAACTGGAGGAGGGAAAAATTTATCTCATTCATGAAAGATGCAATTTGTTCATAAAATGTTAACAGAGGAAGATGTGTGTTTAAATACAAGCTTTCTTTTACTCTGGGTCTTGAAAGCCCTGGTCTATCTTTTTATTCTACCATAAATTTGAGAATTGTGGAAGTAAGAGGCTTTCAACTTTTTGTAGGGTAGCTCGGAAGTTGGCATCACCCTGGTTCCTTTGACAAAAAGCCAATGGGACTTTACTTTTCCATTGGATTTTGGATTATTGCAGAAAATAAACTCTGTGGCAAAAAAACAAAGGTTTATGATATACATGTTTTTGTCAGCAAGATAATTGTCACAAATTAACATCACCTTTATGAAGTGTAAATACAATCGTCAGAAGTCTTGATCTAAGGCATCAAATCAAAACCCATTAAAAAAACTTGCTGACTTTAAGTTGAGGTAACTATACATATATATATATATATATATATATAACCATATATATTCTTGAATTTCCCTCTGGATAAATAAAGTATCTATCTATCTATCTATCTATCTATCTATCTATCTATCTATCTATCTATCTATCTATCTATCTATCTATCTATCTATCTATCTATCATAAGCGCTAAATTGCCTACTCATTTCTGGGTTTTAGGACTCATTCCTGCAGCACTCCATACAACTCTTTACCCTCCTCCTGTGATCTGAATGTATGTTAACTGGGAAGCCCAAACTTGGAGGCTAAACCTTCTTTGACCTCACAGACTGTACCTTTATTAGAGGAGGCAGTAACAGCTTGGCAGTAACATTGAGAGAGCACAAGAAGATAAGAGGAGTGCAAGTTAAAATAAACAGTGCTGAGATCAAATGATGTCAGTGAGGAAGGCAATGCATTTAATGCATTTAATAAGTTTGTTAGACTGAAGAAAACATTGATATTTTAACCTTTTTAATTAATGTGTATATTACATAAATACAAAGACTTAATCCCATTTCTAATCAAATTGTGAGAAATCATAAATAAATTACATTTTAAGAAGATTATATTCATTTGTGGATGCTATTTAAATGCATTCCCACGTAATGTTTTTCATGCTGTGATTAGAAGGATACAAAGCTGAACCAAGTGATCTGGACTCTGCACATTTGCCAAACAGTCAACCCGCAGTCTGGTGACATTGTTTCCTGCCATTTGGCCGGTAAATATTTTCAGCACTGGGCATGAAGTCACCGCCCGTCCTCAGTGATGGCACCAATGAGCTCATCGGGTTGGCAGAGAGCACGAGCTCCTGCTCCATGGCCTCCTCCAGTGGCTTCCTATGACCTTCGTCTCGTTGGCTGTGACACACTTACAGTTACCATTTCAATATGCAGCCTTTATGTTTTAACTTCTTAGTTTTCTGCGTAGGTTGAACAACTGTCACCTGCTCCATCATCATACTCTTAATGTCTTTAGTGAGGCTGTTATGGTGCTGTGTTTGCTGCAGAATAATATTTTAGAGTAGACTGACAGAACCAAAGTTTTCACTTTCCTCATGAATATCAGTGTCCCCTAGTGCCTAATATTATGTTTCTGAGTCTGTTAATTATAATTAAGGTCCTGTGAATGTGCCCTATTCATTGTCATTTGCTTGAATCTGACGCAGGTTATTTCTCTAAATGTTTGATACGTGCAGTTACGAACACCAATTCAAACATTTCATCATTTTTTCAGGGTTTTCCCAAGTGACTTGACCTGAACTATAAAAGGTGGACTGATAAAACATCCATTTTTTTTTTCCAGGTAATGCCGAGCCAAATAACCAATCCTGGAGATGCCGAAGAGAAGAGATATTCTTGCCATCGTGTTGATCGTGTTACCCTGGACTCTGCTCATCACTGTTTGGCACCAAAGCGCTATAGCTCCACTCCTCGCCATCCGCAAGGGTACGCAGTGCACTGCACTCCACTGACAATATCCAACTTGAAGTGGGTCCTCGAACCTAACACTACACTTCAGAATTAGACAATAGGCCGTTCATTTAGAGGCACTCAGTAACCATGACCATCAGCTTCATCACAGCGCAATAACACTTGTCCAGTCGTTGTAAATCTCATCAGTGTGGATGGTTTATGTGCATGAGGAAGAGTTAGAAGTTACCTTATATGCTCTCATACACATAAGAGTTATTTTTATATTTTTGCTGTATGAGTTGAATAGAATGAATTGTTCAGCTGTTTCTAACATGCAATATTTTTCTTCTGTTGATAATATCTTTCCCAGTACAGTATGCTAATAAACATTTTCCTTTCGCAGTATTCACACAGCCTATCCCCATCCCATCAATCCATATTTTCTTCTTGGTGACGCTCAACCACACACAGCATGTAGCACACGGCAGCATGTCAATCATTCATTTTATCCATTTAGGTTAAATTATTCCCCAGTTTCACACAGTGGACATTCATTCCAGAGTTAGTTTAATCATCAAATTGAAATAATAACTGTCTGCTTGTTCAGCTTCATGGAATATATTGTGTCCACGTGTAATATCACATTTGCACAGCAGGCTGAGTCATTAATACACATACTCCTGGGCGTCCCAATCATCCCCTAGGGACCACAAACCAACGGTGTAAAATGTCAAGTATGCTGCAGAGTAAACAAACCCAAATTAGAGCGACAGCAAATCAATAGCGCTCTTTGCCCTCTTCTTATAATGTCATGAATGCCCATACAGGGGTTAACAAACAAAACAGGTTTACAAAAATGACCCAAGGCAGTCTGGAGTCAACAGAACTTACAAATGATTATATATTTATTAAATCATTTGTTTTTGCAGTTTGCATCTAAACACCTAAATTAGTGTTTGATTAGCTGACAATCATAGAAAATAATGCCAAAAGGCGGCCTTTTATGAAAAAGATGTAAACAATAAACTGCATACAATACTTTTAATATCTTATGCGATATAGTGAAGACACAATGAAGTGTAAAAAATATATTTTTTGCCAGTGCTATCTGACCCAGCTTTACACACTGGCTTCCCTTTGTGTGCTCTTAAAAGAGAAGCTAGGGGGTTTTTGGCAGAGTGCTCGCTGGCAGCCTCTGTTGAACATCTGGCCATCAGCAGATTGTGTTAATCTGTGTGCTGCAGAAAAATCCTCCTCATGTTGGAGGTGCGAATGGAGCTCGGGCAGAACAGTGACAAAGATTGCCATTAGCTGTGGCACAATGAAAAGAAATTAACAACCTTAATGGTTCTATAATCATATTCTATCCATCATGACCAAACTATTGGGCCCAAAACAACACAGCCTCACTGGAGTCAACTCAGTATATGTCAGCTGACTGACTGACCACAGTTTACATGCAAGTTGTGAGTAAGTGGTTACATATTTCTCACTTGAACATTCAAAATTGTAATTACCGTCCCACAGAAGAAATAAACAAGAAAAAAGCTGTGTGCTAGTAGCACAGCAGTCACTGCTGTAGCTGTAATGCCCAACATGACATGTTGAATACCCAGACATTGATTCTCACCTGAAGTTTTGTAGTTGGCTGCACCACCACCCCTATTTCATACAAAAATGAAACCCCCAGTTTCTTGTGAAAGTCTTTTAAGCACTTTATGTGCAGCTGCATTTGCAGCTTTTGTCTTCATGGACCCAAAGAGAATACAGATAAAACACAAACTTTTTTTTTGCATGCGTGTCTCTAGGCAGATCTCCATAAGGACATGTGGAATCTGAAAATTAATACTTAAACCCTTGGAGCCATTTAAGAGACTAAACATATTGGTAGTGGAGTTTGTGATTGTGTTTAGTCCAACAACTAAAAGTGAGGTCCAACAAGTTCCTACTTGATAACAGTACCAATCAAGACTCTGCTCACAGCAATCACAGCCATTTATAGCATTTTGAGATCTCTGTAGCAAAATATATTATTAAATGTGAACACTGAGACTTCCTGATTTCAGAAAAATAACTCATAGCTGTGTTTATTGCAGGGAAGTAACATAGTGGTAGTAAGCTACCCAGAGCATTGGAAGTCTGTGGTGGAGTCTGAACATAAAAAGAGGTCATGTCAACTGGATCCACATACCCACATTTTTTCTTTCTTTATAAAGAAAAGCCCAAAGGCAACGCTGGGGGAATAGCAAGGCTCATCTCTCCCCTCCTTTTCTTTGCGCTGTCTCTCTGTCCATCAGCTGTGTTATCCTCTCACGGTGCCTGCTTTCACTTTTTGCAGCCTGTCACCACCTAGTAAAAGAGATCTTTATCATTCCAGAGAGGCTTGCAGTCCGCCACCACCGGCTCTCAGGTACACTTTACCCCCATTGGGTTTAAGTCACCTGAGGCAAATATACAAAGGGCAGCCCAAGGTTGCACTAATGCCTTACATGTCTTCTTATCCCCAAATCTGCAGATGATGGTGTTGAGGGCAAGAGGGAGGCAGGTGGCCAGGCGCAGGACTCCAAGGAATACTGTGCCTCAGATAAGGACATTGTGGAGGTGGTGAGAACAGAGTATGTGTACACGCGGCCTCCACCCTGGTCCGATGTGCTGCCTACCATACACATCATCACCCCCACATATAGCAGACCAGTACAGAAGGCTGAGCTGACACGGCTGGCAAACACCTTCCTCCACGTTCCCAACCTGCATTGGATCCTGGTGGAGGACTCGCAAAGGAGAACGCCTCTTGTCACGCGGCTCCTCCGGGAAACAGGGCTTAACTACACGCACCTCAATGTAGAGACGCCCAGGAACTATAAGCTGCGGGGTGACACTCGGGACCCCAGAATCCCCAGGGGGACCATGCAGAGGAATCTGGCCCTGCGGTGGCTGAGGGAGACCTTCAACGCCAACAGCAGCCAAGCTGGAATCGTCTACTTTGCTGACGATGACAACACATATAGCTTGGAGCTGTTTGAGGAGGTCAGTGTTGATATATTTCATGTATTTTTATGAAAATGGCGAGGAAGACAAGGGACAATGAGAGTATTGTTTTGATATTTACAAAATGTCTCACAATTCAGTGCTGTGGTGAGTTGATGTTTGCTATGATACATCAGCTGCAAACGATGGCTAGCATGTACATGTAGCTGAATTATTCTTACCATAATCCAATAACCTCCAACCTTAACGTATTAAGTATTCCCAGCTTACATCTTTTAAAGCCCACATCTTTTGTAATCTTACGCTGAAACCTAACCTTAGTTTGTACACACCAAATGTTGCCAACTCCTCACCACTATTGACAATTCTCAAGCTCCATCCACCTTTCAATTGCTGCACCGCTGATGTCCACTTGACTGTCAGAAAAACAAACCGTGTGCAGAGTGCACGGTAAGTAATTCAGGGGGCCTGGGAGATTGAACGATTCCCAGCAAAAACACACAGGCCAGCTGGTTATGCTTTCTTAGATAGCTTGAAATCTCAGCAGCCATTCGGCCAACAGAGGAGCGGCTGGAATTGATCAACAGAGCCAAAAATCAGTGAACCTTCAGCAATATATTATGGTCATGTTGGGCAAAGATCCGGCAAAATAAAACTGCACTTTTAAATATGCTCTAAAATGTTATGTCTAAATGAAAAAAAGTTATATTGTGTGTGAATTTTTAGTGCATGGCAAAAGGAATCTTGTCAATGATATTCTGTACTGTAAGTGTATATTCCTATTGGAATAGTATGGGATAACAAATACGCACAAATGTAAATGTTTTAAAATTGCATTGCTTTCTTTTGGATCTATCTGTGTCATTTTAGTTTAATATAAAGTATATATCAAGTGAAACATATTATATATCATACAGCCGTTCCCAGAGCCATATACTGTGGCATCTGTGGCATGTTATGTAGGGAGGAGTTGGACTATATAAATTCCCAGTTACTTCCCAGCATTTTTTTTTTTAGCTCTTAACAAGCATAGTCAGGGATGTGGAGCTAGTGGAGGAGAGAAGTTTGGGCATGTAATCAGTACATCTCAGGCCATCCATCTTGACATCAGTTGAATTACCTGAGCGGACACAGCCTAGGTCCTCTGAGTATTAGCCTCAAGTCTTGTTAGTAGTGCAGACGGGGTCCGTAGTAAATGGAGCGCTGGGTATTGACGGGGCCTGTCATTACCTTTCTCTGGGAATCAGCTGAAGTGCTCTGTCTCCCTCAGAGGCCCTCCATCACCTCCAACAGGCCTATTTATGAGCCAGAGTAACGGCCCTGAGGGGGAGAGAGAGAGGCGGAGAGGGAGAGACAGAAAAAGAACGAGAGAAAAAGAGAAAGTGACAGCCAGACAGACAGAAGGCAGAGTTGACTGCAACTACAGTATAGTTTGCTGACACCATAGTAAAAATTCAGTAGTTTGCTGACACCATAGTAAATATTCAGAGTGCCTCAACAGCTTGAAAACAGATAGGCGTTTAAGTGACTCCTACAGTGTGGAGACAAGGTTAAAGATTGATGCACGCTGATCCATGTGTTAAAAATAGGCTCATCGTTTTCTCCTGGTTAATCTAAAGTTAACTAATCCTTTGATTTTGAGCAATAACAAAACATTTTTAAATCTAATTGTAAAATAAATGAAAACTAGTTTGAGATTGTTACATGCTGATGAGCTGCCGACATCAAGTAAAACGGTCAAATCGAATAAAACCTCTCTGTTTAAAAACTAAAATTAGGTGAGAGCAGACACAGTTGTAGCCACTCAAAACTGTTTCACTAAGAGCTCATTTGTTATCATTTGAACATAAGTACACAAATGTTCTTTTTTGGGGGGTTTCTTTCTGTAGAAGATGAACTGGTAGTAAAACAAATTTAAAATAAATAATGTCAGAGCCAAATCTGGACGTAGGGACAGTTTAAACATGTGAATAAATGGTTGTTACATGTTTATATGGAATCAAATGAATGTATCTTGTGTTACTGTATATATATGATATTGTACAGAGTATTGAAGACAGGTAGCCAGTGCAAGACTGACTGTAATTGTTGTAACTGTACAAACATCACATCTGTTGCCAGAGAATTTGGTGCTGTAGATTAGTATTGTTTTCCACGTATTCATACCCACTGTGTGAATACAGTCTCAGTCTTTCAGTAGCTCTGGTGCATACAGTCCTCTATTAAATTAATACTTTTTAGGCCATGCCTTAATGAAAACAAACAACAAAAAAACTCATGAAAAATTCATTTCTCACAGTTAAAGTACACCACCCTGTAAAGAACTCCATAAATTATTGAGACTTCATAAGAAAAGTTTATGGTTCCTTCCCAAACCACAAAGTTATTTACAGGCCTGTGCTATTTTGAACCAATGCTCTCAGTTCACAATTTCAGCCTTTAAGAATAATTGTCAACAAATTTAATTCAAAAGAATGACGCAAACCACAAAAGCAGAATTTGTGTTGCAGGGTTGGATGATTTTGACAAAATCTAATATAACATGTCAGGATTGACATATTATGATATTTTGACTAATGGAGCTTTCATATTATATTTACACTCACAAAATTATAATTAGTAAGGAAAACATTATGATTCTGTCATGATTTCAGCTATTTATTTGATATTTTAAAAATAATATATGTTCTACTTTATTGTATGTTGGAATTTACTGGCTCTATTTGTAATGCAAAGTGGGATATCCACCAACTTAATTCTGCATATTTTAAATATACATTTATAATGAATTACATGGAAATTAAAATCTAAATAACTCGCCTATTGTTTGGACAAAGACTTGAATCCTCAGACTCCTCCGATGGAAACAATGAATGACAGTTCTGTTTTTCTGCACCCTTAAGAGCTGATTAATGTACCTGGATGGCTGCCTTCTTTTGTGCCTGAATATATTTTCTTTGTATTGCTTCTTTGACTATTTTGAAACATGGGCACTGTCTCTGAAGACCTCTTTCTGAGTGGAAATAGAGCTTAAACACACACATAGGCATTCAAGTACCAACTGTAGCAACAGTGAACCAAAAAAAAAGCTGAACAAACACACATCATATTTACCAGAATGGGACAAGAGGAACTTTGTTGTGTTTTCATTTGCTTGGGTGCCAGCAGAAGAGGGATTTGTGCTGTTTTACTCTGGCTGATATTCCCACCAGAGGTAGCAGGAGGAACACTCTTTTCCACATTTTCAGTATAGATGGGAAAGTGACAAGCCTCTTGATGTTTCCTGCACAGCGTCTGATTTATGCTTCCCTTTGATTTAAGCTGTGCATATATATATATATATATATGTGTGAGGGAAGCAGGCAGGTGACGTTTGGGCAAAATGGGTCATTGGTTAGATTCAGTTGTGGCCTGGCTACAAAAAACCTGGCAAGACAACCTGTAAGAAGGTTCTTAAAGCAGCTCCTCAGCATTCAAAAGCAGTTTTTGTAAATGGGTAACAGTATGGAAAATGCAGGGTATCACTAACAAACCACATGTAGGGCATATAACAGCAGGAAAAATTACTGTGATCGCATATATAAAATTATAGCAGCGCAGTCACAAGGACTTGATCTCTCTTCAACCATTAACACCCAGAGCTCATTAAGACCAACCATCCTGCCAAATCTTATCTGGATGCCTGGCACAGTCATTTTCCCTATAGCTCAAATCCAGAGATTCCCATAAGCCCCCAGCCTGTTTAACACCCTGCTTCTCACTGATCCCCTGGACTGACCACACAGCAGCCCATCAAGTCACACACCAATCTAACACAGAAGCCCACCATATCACGCACCAGTGCTTGCATGCTCTTATATGCATGCAAGCACTCTAATGTATCTTATACCATAAACACACGTACTAGATACTGTACATGCACTTGCACCTTCGTTTTAAATAGACTGTCCTCCAGAGAGGCACCAGCATCATTATTTCTGCTGCATTGAGTTTGATTAAATGACTCTGTTCCTAAACCTTCCTCTTCCCTCATTGTAAAAACGTATCTTTTATGACTGCAGCAGTTCTTGTCCAAATGGCAAAGACTCACTGAGAGGCAGGCAAAGAAAAGGGCGGCGTGATCGTTTGATGCTGGATGATTAAAGGATAAAAATAAAGGAGGACGGAGGTGCTCTACCTTGAAGTATCTCCTCTGCCAACCAGCGACTAGAGCCACTTGCTCTAATGGCTTGGCTCCTTCAAAGCCTCTTGGCACTGTCCGCTTTTCCTCTCTTTAAAGATGGTTGTGTCTAATTATCTCATTGTAAGGCAGCTGTTGAACAATGTGTGTGATCTGCTTTCATCTAACAGTGTGTCAGCTGCACACGGCACAATGGTTTGGTCAATATTCACCGTCTTTCAGAATGAATAATAGCAGCAGCTCTAAAAACCCTGCGTCCATGCTCTGCTGTAACGCTGGCAGCTGATGCTCAAATACTGTCTCACTGTCATGTACGCTTTTTCAGATGACTAATTCGCTCTCTTCCCTCCTCCATTTCTCTTCTCAACTCTCCCCTCACTAGATGAGATCGACTCGGAAAGTTTCAGTGTGGCCTGTGGCCTTTGTGGGCGGCTTGCGGTATGAGTCCCCCAAAGTCAATGCAGCTGGAAAGGTCTACGGCTGGAAGACGGTGTTCGACCCCCATCGGCCCTTTGCCATCGACATGGCTGGCTTTGCCATCAACCTGAGGCTCATCCTCTTCAAGCCACAGGCGTATTTTAAGCTTCGTGGGGTGAAGGGAGGCTACCAGGAGAGTAGTTTGCTCCGGGAACTTGTCACACTCAACGACCTGGAGCCTAAAGCAGCCAATTGCACTAAGGTAATTTATTTTTCCTTTTCAGCAGCTTGACTTGAGCAGTGAGTAGTTAAGGGATAGCCTGAACTTTTTCTGAGGATGGTACAAACTGCTGTAGCCAGTTGTGGAAGAAGTATATAGATCCTTTACTTAAGTAAAAGTACCTATAGACAAATCAACGTCAAATTTGAGTCCTCGATTAAAAATCCAACTAAAGTAAAAGTACAAATGTCTCATCATAAAAATTGACCTAAAGTATCAAAAGTAAAAGCACTGTTTCTGAGGTTCAATGGATGCTGTAACTGATAGATTATTATATATAACACTGTTATTAATACTGATGCATCAGTGTGTAAACAGCATTTTACTGCTGTAGCTGCTCTAGGTTTTAACTACTTCTGTCTAGTGGTTCCCAACTTAAGGGTCCTCTAAGGGCTTACAAGACAAATCTGAGAGGTTGTGAAAAAAAAAGTTATACAAATCTGTATTCATTTTTCAACTTTTCTCTAATCTTGATTTTCTTGGTGAAATCAAACCATCAAGCGTTATAGAGAAATTCTCTATAATGAAACTGCTAAGAACTTTAGTGCTTTTAGTAAGAGGTCACAAGCCAAACAGGTCGGGGGTTACTGGTTCAATCTTTACCCACACATTGTATTTTATAAGCTTATCATGTATGTTTCTATTGTAAATTTGTAATCTGTAAAGCAATGAGTTACTATAGTTGTACAATGAATACAGTGTAGTAAAAAGTGCATTTTACTTTTAAATGTAGTGGAGTAGAGGTATGAAGCAGTAGAAAATGGAAGGAATTCATTCCTGCACTGACTGTAGCATACCAAAACCACAACCTGCATATCAGGTGACATCACCTTGAAAATGTCTTGTTAAATCTTTTTCTTTACAGTTAAACCATCTGTGTAAGCGTAAAAAAACTATTTAGTTTTTCACAGTTTAAATCAACCAACTGATTGTCACTCTCAGCATCAGATATAATTATTATAGCTAACTTTCTAGCATCATACTACTAACACCATTGCAAGCATGCTGCCTTGATAATGCAATATATGGGACACATACCAAAACACAACAAGGATGTGGAACTGTGACTTCCCATAAACAAATGAATAAAGACACTAGCAGAAACTTCCAACACATGGTTCCCTTATAAAGCCCATAAATTATTTATTAGATATTTCGCAAAATACACTTATTGGCTTTCTTGCCAAACTTTATAGAGATGCTGGTTGGCAGATTCTGTTACCTTTGGACACAGCCAGGCTAGCAGTTTCCAGTCTTAATGGTAAGCTGAGCAAACCGGCTGCTGGCTGTAGCTTCAGATTTAGCTCACAGATATGAGAGTAGCATCGATCTTCCCATCTAACTCTGCAAGAAAGCAAATAAAAGCACATTTCCCAAAATGTCAAAGTATTCCTTTAAAAAAGACCAAATGACATTGAACCACAGCACTTCCCTTATGACAAGGTGAAGCCTGTTATTTAAAATGGTCTTGCAACATTACATGACTATGATGCAAATGAGCATATCATAGGTGTTTGATGCCCCAAAATTACTTGATTAAGCTGCCTGAGCTGAAAAAATAAAAAAAAAATAAATCAACAAACTTGTGAGGCTACTGGTTTGCACATCCTCCCCTATGTTCCTCCTCAACAATATAAATCCATGTATTTCTTGGCAAATAAAATTTATGAAAACATGATGGTCCAACGGTCAGAATGTGAATTAGAGTAAATGTGTTGCTGAAAAGTTGGATGTCATTGTTTATATTTCTAACACTGCCCACATGCACTCTTGCACATACACACACACACACACACACACACACACACACACACACACACACACACACACACACACACACACACACACACACACACACACATGCCCAACACACATTAGAGAAAGGGACTTGAGGTTAGCAGCAGCAGCAGCAGCAACACTCTTCTCCATGCCCACTTCACCATTCCTTCTTACGGCCCTTGGTCTGGGTCACATCGCTAAGTCTCTCTGGGCATAGAGGAGTCAGCCAGAGGGCTTTAGCTTGCCAGTATCCACACTGCAATCACACACACACAAAAAGAGAGAGATAGAGCGAGTGGAAAGGAAGGGAGAGAGAGATACTTTCAGCCAGCTTTTTCTCCTGCTCTCCCCCAGCCATTCAGAGGGGTAAATGAAAAGAGGGGATTCAGGGAATGGCTGAGAGAGCGGAATTGGAGTTAGGGGAGAGGGGGGCGGGAAGGTAGGGACGTCACACTGATTACAGATGAGGGCAGGGACAGAAAGAAGAGCAGGAGGGAAAGAGAAAGAAAAAAAGGGGAATGTCGTGCATGGGCATCTCTCTTCCTTATAATCTACCACTTCAGATGCGAGTGTGAATATTAACCTTCCCCTACACCTGAGGAAAGTGGGAGTGGGCTCCTGGCACATCTCAAACACACCCCATGCATAATTCATGGATGCTGCCATGGTGAGATGAAAGGCAGGAGGGTTCCAACACAGAGGAGAGCAGGGAAAATGAGCTTGCCACTTTTTTTTTTCTTTTCTGGCCCTCTGTTCCCCTTGCCATCCGTTTCCTGGATGTTTGTCCGGTCTCTGGGGCCAAATGAACCCAGTCTGAAGGCTCGGTTGCACAATAGCATACCCAGAAGAACTGTGAGAAGAACTGTGCTACCTACACAGGCAAAAACCTTGTACATAGTGTATCGAAAAATTTTGAGGAGAGTTGAGGACTTTACACAGGGCAAGCTGAGAGGGATGTTTCATATTTGTAAGATAACACACTCGTGTGGTCTCTCTTCACCCCCTTCTAATGCAGGGTTCACACTCAAGTAGCTCTTTACACACACAGACAGGTCCTGTTGGAGCTATAACCGGAATTGACTGTTTTGAAGAACATGAGGCCGAGTGGGAGCTGAAAGGGATAGTACACTGAATGAGTGCATTAGGGGAACAGCATGTTACTAATATTGTTGTTGTTTGTGTTTTTCTCACCAGATACTTGTTTGGCACACGAGAACGGAGAAACCTGTCCTTGTAAACGAGGGGAAAAAGGGATTTACAGACCCCAATGTGGAGATCTGACTGTTTCCTCTCAGACCACGGTAAATAAATAATATTTCATACACCTTGAAATACCTTCCAGTACTCATATAAACAAATTTCCTTCAGAAAGGGAAATGGAAATGTCATGATCATTTTCACATGGGTTCACTTAAACCGGTCAGACTACAGAAGTTTTGGCCTGATTTGTTCCAATTCACGCCCAACAATCAGAGGAGAAATCTGGCTTGGGACCTCGGTCGGGACCAATGGTCAGGCCAAATTATTCGATTTTTAACGTGAGGGGTTTACAGATCCAGTCCTAAACCTTCCAAATTGCTTGCAGACTCTTCGGGGCCTTTGGTATTTAGGAGTGAAGATTTGGATGATTACACCAGTACTTTCTGTGCAGGACCACAATAGCCAATGAGAGCTACAAGTCTACAAGGAGACATTTATGTTAAGGCCGCTACGCATGATCAGCAATTAAACCTCTCTGTGCTGGCTGTGTCATTGTTCTCCTATGGGGAAACGGTTGACTGGGTGCACTGCTCAAAATTGCCACAGTGAGCTTTGCTCAAAGTTCAAGTTATTTCAACTTTGACCTTGGCTGCCGCTGAACTTTAAAACCGCAGCCAATGAGATAACAGCTGTATGTGACATAGTGTAGCAGTGGCACATGCGAGCAGGGGAGGTAGAGAGCAGAGAGTGATGGAATATATTTAACTCTTCTCCAAAATCAACATTATAACACATTAAAAACATACCATAATCTCACCAGGAAAAGTAATGCATGAAAAAACAGCAGTCAAATGGAGCATCTACCAACTTTGTGACTAGGCATATAGTTTAGCTTGCTATAACTACTGCTAAAGTTTGTATTACACTGTATACTGTCAGTGGTTGGTAGCCTATGTATTTTTGCTGACTGCACTGCGCTTTGCCTCTCCAAGCACTTTGCTCTGTGCCCTGCCTTGCTGCAAGCACAGAGCAAATCTCTTATGTGGAGGCAGGTTTAGTCCCGGAGCAGCTGACGGTGTTGCCAAGCAACATTCTAGCCCTTGAGGCTAACGTTAGCTAGCATAGACAACCCATGTTGACTGCGTCTTCCAGACCAGCTTTTGTTTTTTCTCACTGTAAAGCATCACTACAGCAAGTTGTTGCACCATGTCAGTCTCCATTTTGCATCTGCTTCCCCATGAGGTCCAGTGAGATCATGTGAGGTGGTGCACTGCTCCCTCTGGCATGATCATTTTTAATAATATCCTGTAGTGTGGGATGCGCCATTATTTTTCACATCCTGTAGTGTCTGCATGTTTGCAATTAGAAAGAAGAACATCTGTGAAGTTTTGTGGTTCGTGATTGTTTGTCATTCAACCCAATTCCAAAATTGGTTATGATTTTTCAACTCCTGTAGTCTGAGCCCGGAGTACAAAAAGAGCAGGTGTTCCTAATATTTCCTAATACAATGTACATTGATTTTTTAATGTGATTTCTGTTAAGGCACAATTACAGCAGCTGTTATTAAATGTCACCAGTGAAATAAACAGGTTATATTATCTTAAATTAAGGCTTAGGGCTCTTTCTCAGCATATCTTAATCCTTTCTATTGCAGGTGATTGGACCTGCAAAGGAAGAAAGCGGCCGGGTCTCTTGATAAGTGCAACCAGCACTCATGTCTTAATCATCAGAAAAAAGGAAATGGGGAGCCTTTGACAGGGGGTTTAATCCTCTTGACTGAATCTGACATTTTTCAAATATGGATTTAAATAGCATAAATGTATCATATTAAAGCACAGATCAGTAAGAGGTGGCAGGTGTTTGTCAGGTCTACGAATGGAAATCAGAGGAGACGACTTGAAGGACGCCTCACAGGGTCAGTGTGGACAGATGTGACCTGCGCCTTCACGGCCCACTGAGGACAACCTAACAACAAAGAGACAGCACAATATGAAAAGCATACAGCCAGTGGATTCAACCAGACAAGCAGGTTAAAGAACATCCTTCACCTCAAAAATAAAAAACTAAGGAAACACATTGTCTGGATCTGCACATGCTTCTCCTTGGATTTAAAGACACGGCCTGCATCATCAGCCTGGATGAAAACATGACTCCAAGGACAGATATGTCTCATGTGGATTTTCCTTTGAGCAAACACAAACATAGCAAGGGAAGGAATGTTCTTTTGATAACTATGAAATGTTTGCTTTAATTTAATTTAATTGGTTTGGGTGTTTTCAGGCACTTGACTTGCTAGTTCAATTCTGCTGACCCTACATTTACTCTTGGGTTATCATTGTTCATTTTATAGTGTCATTACAGATCATGCATTTAAGCCACCCCCGATCACTTGCAGAGAAACTGCTGTTTGAAATGTTGAAATGCTTGGGAGCGGAAACATACATGTACACGTGAAAATCCTAACACTCTTCTTAGCACTTAAAAAAAATACACAAATGATGTTCCTTTGTGGCAACATGTGTAAATAGTATTTCAACATGAGAACAATCAGAAGATTAGTGACAAATTAGAACAAAAGAATTGTAATTATTGTATTTATAGGTTAAAAAAAATCTCTTCTCTTTCCCCTCTGGTGAATTCGTCACAATAACACACGACAAGGCACAGGTCCACTCTAGGTTCAACACATGGAAAGAGTAATAGCACATCACCAGCTTTATTTGGTAACAGAACCTCATAACACATAGACAAGAACTTCAAATCAGCTACATGGTCGACTCACAAAATGCTGATCAAATGTAAGTCAATGGTCTTTTTTGACGTTGCGGGGTAAACAGTGTCATTTTAGTGAGTTAATATTTTCCCCTTGTCTATGCACGCTCGTATGTACACAAGCCCCCAGTTAACAAAGGTATGCTCATGTGCAAGTATGAAAAAAGAGCAGAATGAAACAGCATCAAAGTCCAAGAATTTGGTTTTACTAGACTTGTCTCTCTCCAAAAAACAAACATTTGGAAGCTCAGGCTGCTGACGTTTAATACTCACATTCAAACAGCTGCTATAAGTAACAAAAACTAAATTTAAATAATGTATGCATGGCCCCAAATATTTTGATTTTTCTATAAAAAACTTTAGCTTCCACTTATGAAATAAGATGATACATGCTACTCCGAATTGACAGCAGGCTAAAGAAAAGCACAACAAAAATAAACCTTATTTTTGCTAATGATTTGGTAGCAACGTTGCGTCATCTTGCGTACAGTGGACTGAAGTGGGTATCTCATGGTTTCTCTTTGTATTAGTTACCCATCTGTTGTACATTAAGTGGATTACAGGGGGGAGTCACCGCACCTGTAACGATAGACATCAGTAGCTATGACGCTGTATGGCTGAACACTGTAACAAAGTTATTCTACACCTCATATAATAGAATCACTCCACGACTTGATAAATCATCCGTCTAGCGCAATACACAGTGGAGGTTCTTATCTAACATTGCCCAGCAGAAGTAGCTGGAGATAATTCAAACACCGAGCCTCTGTACTGTTGCCAGAACATCTTTGTGCACCCCCCCAACACACACAACCCAAAATACACTGCTGCAGTATGAAAACTTCAAGGTGTTACAGCCAGTCATCAGCCAGAGAAAGCGTATTATTACATATTTCACTTGGAATATGATAAGATACACATTCAGACAATGGCTGTATTGTGTCTCTTATCAAACTGGCTGTTTTTTTAGTGACTGCATGATATTACACTGCACAGGGATCGGCCATGGAGATCACAGACTATTTTTGGATTCGTTCTATTCTCCAACTTGCCTCCAATTATTTATTAGTAAAATTTATCAAATTTAATATATTTATTTATGTATTTATTTCAGGTGTGGATGTGCAATTGAATCACAGCAGTGTTTGCCCTTAAATCTGTATTTTCCAGCTGCTCTCTAAAAAAGCATGCGCACATACAGTATACCGTACACAATGGATTATCATATAGATCTATTAGAGTTCAGTGCTACGACAGGCAGACACACACACACCATCTTCTTTGTAGCACTGTTGTTTAGTCTGCTTGAATGGTCATTATCAGCTTTTAATCTAAATGAATGAATCCACCTGAACTCTTTTTAGCAAAGAATTTTTGTCCAAAATGGAAAAATGCCAGCGTGTAAAAGACTTAAGTCAAAGTGTATCTTTAAAAAAAAAAAAAAAAAGCATAACAATTGAATTTTGTGCTAAGAAGTTTTCCTGAAAAGTTGTATATCATCTGTGGTGTGTCCTGAAGCAGCAGATCAAATTGAAAGGGCTCCACCTTGAAACTGATGTTGTTATATCTTTGTCCGACATCCAAACTGAAATTCTTCTGATTCCGCCAACAGATGACGTATTAAGCAATATCTAATCACAAAGAATTAGTCTACTAGAACCACCCTACCTATACATCAGTTTTAGCAGTACAGGTTATTCAGTATTTAATGTCAGTTTATGAGCATTACCCTCTGAGGGCTTCTCTAAGGCACAATACACTTTACACACAAGTCCTACCTTTTCCTCATCTCCACTGTCATCTTCCAGCCTCATGTGATTCACATTTTATGCATGTGACTCTTAAGGTTGTTTATTTGCCACAGCAATTCTGTCTCAGAGAAAGATGTTAGTTGAATCAAGAGAAATAAATAACTGAGAAGAACCTCACCAGTGCTGGAGTATTGTGTCTGTACACTGTGTGTGTTGTACTACCTGTGTTTCTATACTGAGATCCTGGCTGGTGGGCATGCGTGAAGAAGCGGTAGCAACCTCTAAATAAAATGTGAGGAATATGTCACAATTCTACAACAACTTCCTTGATATTTTCTTGAATTCATCAGTGCTTCTAGAAAATACATTATTAAATGTATGTGTCAAATTATTATTCATAACAACCAGGATTTTCAAATTAGTTAGTTTACCGGTTACATCAGGTTGTACCATTAACACTTAGGGAATATCTTCCTTACAATTAAGTAGGTGTAAAAAAGTTGTAAGCCAAGAGTTCAAGGAATAAATAATATATTAAATACATGTGCTAATATTTGTAAATGTTATAACTAATTGCTTTATTATATGCATAAATGGAAATATGTGTGCTTCGGCTATTCATATGGTTTAAAATGGGTGGGAAACATTTGATGATGCTAACCTAACCAACGTCATTTGGGAAAATTTTGTAACAGCTAATTTATATGCAATAACTACTTTACGTTGTGGAGACCATTTTAATTTTGTTATCTGCAAATCTTCATTTAGCACTTTGGTAGATAACTAGGTCAAGTTGGAACTTATATGAACAGCTGGTGCAACCGGCGGGAGGATTTCAGCACCACAGGAAACCTGACTACCTATCAATTATTAGATTTAATTTACACTGGTGTGTTAAAATACACTGCTTAGTCTTCAAATGTGACAACACAGCTTCATGGGGCATCCTTAAAGAATATAATGGTGATGGTTTCCAGGCAGGGCTAACACACAACAGATGAGTTTTGAAAAAATGTATATCTGAACACAGCTTGCGATCTTGCCAGAAGTTAGATTTGAAAAGCGTGTTATATCAAACAGGCTCTTATTGTGCAGGATAAATAAAGCAGTTCACAAGCTTCCTTGACTACTGACACACAAAAATCAGCTTTTATTCACAGTTCTTATGCACAACCTATATTCTATAATAAGCCTGTGAAAGGAAGACATTTTTAAGACTTTATTATAATCAAGAACATTCTGTATCACAGTTCCTTCTCCAGTTATGTAGTAGAGTGCAGATTAGTGTAAACTGAATAAGAAGGACTCAACAATGTCAGAAATACAGTCACTAAATGAAAAACTAGTCTGGAACGCTGCTGTGTTGGCGTCCTCCGATAGAACACAAAATGTCATGTTCACTGATGTGTGACTTTTGAGTGATGCTGGTCATGGCAGGGTGTCGGTGCCTGAGTTGACGAACCTCACGGCAAACGCCTCGGTTGCATCTACGCTCCCATCATCCTCCTCTCCTCATCCACACTGCCCTCTCACCTCCTGTCCTCACTGGACATCAACAGGCATGCCATAGTCAGGGCTGCTGGCAAACTGAATCTTACCATCTGTTTCCTGCTCTTCAAACACTATGACCTGTGATAAAGCAAAAAAATCCAGCTTAGCCGAGGTAATGAAAGTACACTGAGAGTGGGTGGTCAGCATATGCACACTCACAGGAGAGAGAAGTTGGGAAAGGCAAGAAGGAGAAACACAGAGATACATGTAGCTAAGGCTTTTTCCAGAGAATGTTCAACAACATCAAAAGCTAAAGGGGGCTGATCAGTTGTACAATGTAACTGTTGACCTGTGATAGAGTGGAGGTGAGGAATTGTTGTTGTAATATACTCATGCAAAATCTCACTCAGAAAACGTAGATGGACGCAAAAGTCCGTCCACATGGCCTGTTTCTTGCTATATGCGGACTATGCAGTTGCATAGGGACCCTGAAGCCAACAGGGGGCCTTCAAGATGCCATTTTAGCTATAGACATATATTTAGAAATTAAAATGACTGTAGCTCTTGGTAGCCAAGCACCCTTGTGAGTTGAAAGTGCCTATATGCTCAAAAAGAGGGGCATAGGCCCCCAAAATATTCTTATTTAATTTGCATCTAGATCTAGATCTGTATCAAAATACACAGTGATAGACATTCAAATTGAGTTTTTGAGAATACCTTAAACTCTGGAATGTTAGGGCATAGATAATTATGAATGGACTGTACATGGATGAATTGTGCAAAGTTTCAAGTGAATCAGACCACTGAGGTAAGGCCATTTTCATTAGTCATGTTACTAGTGCCACCTGTAGGCAAATTGCCATCCAAATTTGGAGAATCCAGAGTTGAAACATAGCTACATGCAGAGCTGAAATTCTTATTTTAGTCAATTAGTTGATCGTCAGAAAATGTGTGTGTTTTCATAATTGTGATGGGTATTTTTTGTTATTTAATTTCTGACATTTCACATCCACAACTAGTAACTGATTAATGGCGAATCTGAAGATTTATCAATAATGAAAAAGTGGGTTGCTAAATTTGGTTTCTATTTCAAGGACGCCTGAAGGAATTTGGCAACCATTTTTCATGGCCAAAGTTGGTACATGTCACGTACCAATTTTGGCCAAGGATCTCCTGAATGGTAAGCACATGTAGATGTTACAGAGGGAGTTGATACCTGGTTGTCCCCCCTGTGAAGCCAGGGGCCTGGGACATAGAGGGTTTGCTGAGGACCGATGGACCAGTAGCGTCCCAGATTCTTGCCGTTGATAAACACTACTCCTTTGCACCAGCCCTGTGAACACAACCAGTTCAGCCAATTAAATGCTGATGGGTAAAAAAAGAAACATTTTGATGGCTACCAACAAGACATAGTAAGCATTTCCGTCTAATATGATTAGCATCTTTTGCTTAATACATCCCAGGTTGTTTTTAACGATAGTTGTTAGGTTCTCTACCTCTAGCCACATCACTTTGAGTCTCAGCAATGGAGAAATGTGGGGAAAACAAAAGAAATATACAGAATAGTAGGAGGTAAATTATCAGTCAAAACACACAATCGCTCAATTAGTAAATAAAAGTAAATATAAAACTGCATAAATATTGAATAAATAAATCAGTCTTGTTCTACTAAAGTTGTCTGGCCAAGATCAGGTAAAAATAACTTACCACAACAATGTACAGAGCTTGGAAGTGTGTGTCTATGAAAGTATAGGCAGCTTGAGTTCTGTTAAATCTAGAGGAAGAAAACCCCTTGCATTCCTAACTGTTGGGCAAAATAATCCAAACACCAGTAAATAAACTGCAATGCTGTTCAATGATACAGCTGTGCAAAAAAAAAATATTCTTCTGGCAGATTTAGCATTCCATTTATTTTTAATATTCTGTCAAAGAGTTAATAAATAAACTCTAACCAAGTCTCTAATTTGTAGTGCTGCTGTGCTACTGTCTGTCCTACTCACAGGGAGTTTGATGAAGGTGTCTTTAGGAAAACTGTTCACATAGAGTCTGCCCTGGAAAAAACCTGGGAAGGAGGGCCGCTGGCGCATAGACGTCCAGTGGCCTGAACTCTCAAGTCTGTTAAAAAAAAAAGAATACGTTGTACTTTTCATTTTTCTCAAATCCTTACAGATTACGCTTTCACAATACTGCATATTTCATGGCATGAAAGCACAGATATCGGTTCTGTCATGTATTTTTTAAGACACGTTCTGCTGCAATTTCTATCATAAAATTCATCAGTCTTGACTTTTAGCTGGTCAGGCAGCAGTGTACAGTGTATCATGTCATTCATATTTTTATGCCTACAGTAAATGTCAAGTGAAAGTTTGGATATGGATGCCAGGGGAAATATTCAGAATCACTATCTTTGTTTTGGCTGTACAGTAGGTTATATTTTGCCTCTAAGTAAATTCAAAAGGTTGCCATGATGTAAGACCAAAATTTCTTCCTCCGTTATGCATTTTTAGTGTTCATTCACAAAGTGCTTCAGGCCTTGACATTTCCAGGGTGGTGCTGAGGTAAAGAAATTGCAATTTTTTCAATAAATGAGACTGAATAATGTCTTGGAAATATATCTAGATAGTCCACAAAGTACAAATATAGACCTCTGAACAAACTAATCCCAGTGGCCCTGATTATCTGTGCAACTAATATGAGTTGCGTAAAGGGGGTCATCAATATAAAAAAAGAATGAACACATTGTGGAAGTTGTTTGATTTCAATCTGGTGATAATGACACTGATTTTGAATTTAATAAGCAACATACAGGAAGGCATTATAATCTTCTAATATGGGAACATCATGAGGGAAATGTATTTGCACCTTTGGGTGCACTGGGTCCTGCAAAATGACTTCATAATGCTTGGCTGTAGTAGAGAAATTACCAAACATAATGACTATTATGGGATTGGTGCCACATTAAAAAGGTCCCCCACCATGTTTAACAGTTTGCAAAAGACAGCCCATGGCATACAACAAATCTAAACCTGTCTCGATGTAAATCACAAAAATCACTCAAGTTTGCTTGCTTCCAATGCACAGCAGTCTATGTTCTGACCCTTTTAGCTGGTGATGCATTTATATTTACTGGCCCTGAATTCAAGGTTTGTACATACTGTTTTTTATTTCTGTCATTGCATATTTTCATTATTTTATATGTGTGTGTGTGTGTGTGTGTGTGTGTGTGTGTGTGTGTGTGTGTGTGTGTGTGTGTGTGTGTGTGTGTGTGTGTGTGCTGTCTGTTTGCTTGTATTTCAATGCACATGCTAATTTGTGATTGTTAATTGTTAATCTTGTGAATTCGATAATGAATAAATAAATTATAGTATTTAATATCCCCTTAAAGCATCATAAAGCAACATACAAATACAGTTCTTCTATGTTGATGCAGTAAGTTTGGGATAATGTTGTTATGGAGTGCCACATTGAAGACATTTCAGTCTAACACCACTAATATGTATGATATGGCTGTTTGAGCTCTTGGACATGGCAAAATCATTGTTTTGAAATCTGCAAGACACACTTCTAATTGAAACCCAACTAACAGTGAATTGTGTTTGTACCTCCCAGTTTCACGTGGTGTATTCTGCTAGCACTATATATTGTGAACACCTTGTGCTGTCACCCAGCACAATTGATCCCGTTAAGCCTTTTGAACATTGATAACAGTGCAGATCTTAACAGACACCAGCCGGTGCTGCTTATAATTTAACATGAGAGGCTGAATTATAATGCTGTGTTTTGATTTCTGAATTTTGCCATCATGTTTCCATTGTAATTGTGTTAAGCATGAGATAATCAGCTGGATTGAATCAGCAGCAGGCAAGTGTAATGACAGAGAAACACAAACATGAAACTGAATTATAATTGAAAGACACAAACCTGTTTACAAAGCCTGGCTTCATACTCAGACTATGAATAATGAAGTCTCGGAGGACACGCTTGTTTAACTCGATATCTCCAACAAGACCTGAAAGGTGAGTCAAAGCTACTTTAAGTTTGCTTATGGATCTTAAGACACTGTTAATTAGTTCATTTCAAGGTCTCTAGTGAAACAAATCATTTGGCAAGACTTGGGCTGACTGAACATCTACAAAGCTATCAGTTTACGGAACAATTTGTACCTTTGCGCTGCTCATCCAGTGTTTTCCCATAATTCACTCTTCCACAGTTCTCCACCAGTAAACTTAGAGTTCTTTTCCCCTTCAGTGGAAAAATGCATAAAACATGAGTATAAGTATTACTGACACACATCAGTATTCCTCAACGGAAAGAATGAACAAAAAAGAAAACCAGTTGATCTGGTTTTAGTAATTGATCAAGACTAATCTGAGTCTATTGTAGTTGTCTTCAAATTTGTTAAGATAAACAGTTCTTTGATGATTTGCTGTTGGCTCAATACTGGGACCTTGCAGCCAAAAACATCTATCAGCATCCCCCGAAGCTTTCACATGCTGCATGTTGTTAAATATTAACAACTTTATCCTTCTGAAAGAAGCTAAGAGCAGACTAAATCTAAACTACACACAGAAGGACACACACACACACACACACACACACACACACACACACACACACACACACACACACACACACACACACACACACACACACACACACACACACACACACACACACACACACACACACACACACACACACACAAGGTACCTTCCCATCAGGGAGAGCAAGTTCTTGCGTCTTATAATCCAGAACACCAATAAAATGTTTGTCCACAAAAACCTGGGAAGAAAAAGATTCAGTCTTTCAATGCTCCTATAACTGTCATGACTGACATTAATACCAGAGCAACTGGTTGCAGCCCGAGCTTGTAATTGTACTCCACAAGTACACCAATCAGAGGTGTGATTTCTAACAAGAAGATAACAGCTTTCTAAATGTTCTCACAAAGAAAAGCAGAAGTGTGTGTTTACAGAAGCATTATGTCCTCCTGTCTTTACCAGCGCTCTGTCTTTGATGTTGTTCTTTGAGTTGAGGGTTCCTTCACTGGTGATGGTGGTCTCATACAATGTGTAGCCATAAGACTGACCATTTTTATTGTTGACGGGGAGATTCTCCATGTTCACCGGCCTCACTGACTTCATAGGCTAAAAAAATGCAAATGTAGATGAAGAGTTTAAGACAGACACAACGTTTGTTGTTCATACAATGTACCTCTAAAAAATCTATATTTTTAGAGACTTTTTAAAAAAATGGTTACATAATGTTTGCTTTATTTAAAGTGAAAACACTCTATCTCAAAACCAATATCAATGCAGATGAGATCTTGTGATTCCTGCCGCACAATCTCCCACTTGCAAGATGGCTTCACCCAAAGTGATGATTTATCAAACCTAATGAAGTTTTCCTGTCTGGCATTCAGAGCAATTCTTTTATTCAACAACAATATTTTGCATACCCTTGGGAGGTGCATTATGCACTCTTCACAAGACAATAAACACTCCCTGCTATGACACGATTAACCACCTACCTCCAAACACACAGATACAATATCAAAACTCACACATCCCACTCAGCCTCTCTGAAGCTATTGAAGAGAAAACGCTCTTTTTAAACGAGGGCACGTAGCTGGTCAGATGCAAAGTAATTGTCGTCTCAGAGGGAAGCAAATTATTACGACGGGCAGTGAATAATTAATGTTGTAAGCAACTGCCAGACGTGCTACATCTGGTTGGAATATAAATGCCCCTGAAGAGCACGTTGTAAATGGCTAAACTAGACTGGTGGGCATGGAAGTGAACGGACGTAAAGACACCCTCCAAACAGGTTTTTTTACCCAATCTTCTTTTTTTTTCAGTTTGGCAAGAGAGATTTTCTGTTCATACTTTATTTCCACAACAGCCTGCTTTACAGTCAAAAAGCTGTGCACAGTTGATTACTGCTGGCCCTTGAGCAGGCCACTAATGCAGTTAGGAGAAAATGTCTTGCTCAGGGGAACCTCATCAGCAGTTGTTCATTAAGGCAGGAGTGTTACTTCCCTTCTCAGACTTTCTCAATAGGTCCAGGAAAACCAAGTTGGTGATTGACGATAGTTAAAAGCTCACTTGTCTCACTTTTTTCATCAGAAAATAAAATGGTTCTGTTGGAGGTTTCATTTATGTCTTAGAAGAACATATGCCGCTGTATATCTTATGATTTGGTGGCATTTAGATAGATCAAATGACTATGACTGTTATGGCTTTCTTCACATAGGATAACATTAGGGCATTCTGTTCAAAACTTTCTCAACTCAATAGAGATACGGAATAAAAACACCAGAGATAACTCTGAAGAAACAACTAATGTCAACAGGTACAAGAGCACCAGTGACTCCAGCGGTTATTGCCCCATAATGCTTGGGGTTGTTTTTTAACTAGTGCTGTCAGTTAAATGCGTTATTAACGGCGTTAACGCGAGCCCATTTTAACAGCGTCAATTATTTTTTTTGCGAGATTAACGTTCTTAGCATAGTTTGTAGTCTTTTTCACATGCTGTTGCAACAACTAGTAACGTTAGAAAAACTACAACACCACACCGGATCTAGCTAGACCGGAAACAAAACAACAGGCACTTGTTTAAGAGTAGTAGACGTTACGTTTTGAGTGGATGGCGAGTGCGAGACGCCAAAATGGATGCCAATAATATTCTGAATGGAAAGTTTACTTTTAAAAAGTTGCCAAATGGTTCCATTGACAAGACCAAAGTGATCTGTGTGTTTTGTCGTTGTAAACTGAGCTATCATCGCAGCACGTCCAGTCTGAAATACCACTTGATGGCCAAACACACAGCTGATGCGAATTCTCCTCCTCCTCCTCAAAGCTGGGCGACAATGGATGATTTTTCAATAAAAACAACATTTGCACAAAGCAAGCCAATCCACTTTTCCATGTTGATAAGAGCATTAAAATGAGAAAAAATAATGGGACAAACAGAAATCAAGGGACATTTAGAATAGATAAAAATGTGCGATTAATTGCGAGTTAACTATGACATTAATCACGATTAAATATTTTAATCGTTTGACAGCACTATTTCTAACATTTGCTAATATTGATATATTGTATAATAACTAAGTTGAGTAGACAGATGTGATAAGGAGCTTGTGCTACTGTAACTGTGTGTACTGTCAATGCACCTGTCTTCAAGCTAGGGCCGACTCTTTGAGAAGTAAATTAAGGAGGAATACATTTACACAGACTGCAACAGCTGCCTATCGACATAATTAACAGCACATTTTCTTTGAGTTTATTTAATTGGATTTTGTATTACTTATGTATTAAGTATTTTATGCATCAGTGTTGTCTGTCAACAACCTTGCAACTCTGCTTTGAGCAATGCTACACAGATGATGTTTATTATTTTGCCACGAATACTGGCACCCTCTGTGCATCAGTAGCTTACCTTGTCAGAGAAATGCAGACTGTCCCACAGAGACAGGTGCTGCTGGATGACAACAGGCTGGTACGCTCTCCTTTCCCGAAGAGAGGGCAGTTCAGGGAGAGGCTGGGCTGAAAAACAAGGAGGAAAAATGAGGGTAGGCTGCAGTTTGTATGTCTATATTTATCAAATCATTTTCACTTTCTTTATCCTTTATTTACCCAAGGGATGCAAACAAACTGAAGTCCAAACCTTTTAAGGGAATTTTGCAATTATTACAACATGACATATACATTGTTGTACATGTATGTACAATAACCCCACACACAACAAATATACATGAATCTTTATATTTTTAAGTTCATGTGAATTTGGTCAGAGAAGGGAGTTCCAGATGGATATGGAAATCTCCTAAAAATCTGCATATCACATCTGAGAGAAAGACGAGAAGAGAGGGAAGAGGCTGCTTTGTACATTCAAATTATAAACCATGTTCAGTCTACAGCTGGTACAAAAAAAGACTAAATTTGACCATAAAAACAATTCACTATAAAACACAAATAGGCTATTTATTTATATGCTTCTTCTGGGCACTGTCCTATTCTGTATTTCTCTTGTAGGAGTCTTCATATTGTAAAGCCTATGAATCACTCAGTACAAAATAATAAAAGTAACCTGTTTCTTGGAAACTGATTGTAAGGCTCTTTGGGTGAGCCATTTGCCCTCCACAGCAGTATCCAGTTTGTGCTCCATGTTACAAAACAGTCTCTTTACAACAATTAACAGTGGTTGCCCATGCCCTCGAACTGCTTTTAAAGGTGTTAAAGCATGAAGAGACACTAGCGGTCCCTCTGGGAAAGGCTTGACAGCATTTCCTTATCACCAAGTGGTAACAGCTGGATCACTTAAGGAAACCTTTGAGGATAATGGCCAACACCTTCCCCCTAAATGCCTCTCTACAACACTTACAAGCTAGTGCCTTTGGTAGTGTATATAATGTGTCACATCTAAGAGAGGAAGAGAGAGCATTGAAAGGACATTTCTATGAACCTATGTCACAAATTTGGCATTTTTCCTACAACAAAGCCCAAATGAAGCAAAATTATCCATATAATCATGTGCAGAAGAGACCATGGCCATGTGTTATGGGAGAAACATGCTATTAGGGTTCAGATTTGCTCACATTTGAGTTAAGCATTTGACAGATGATGAATACTTAAAATGCTTTAAGATAAACTGTTTTAATACTGTATACTGTATTTTTGCATTTTTTGACAGTTTTGTAATAACAAGAAAACCCCCAAGCATACATGTCACAGGTCTACTTTAAGAGCCATGCTGCTGTCAAAGATCAGTGTTAAGACCTTCGACAGATCAGCCTGAATCCATGGCAAGTTACGCAAAAACAACCCCACAGGGAAAAGAGTAACTGACACAATGCACATGATTTGACAACCAAACAATAATAAAATATCAAGCTGATCTAATTAAAGAATTAGGTCATGTGCTTGTGGTTGTTGAGTAGAACACAAATCCTTCTCAGACTCTCATATCCAGGCCACTGCTTATTGTTCAGCAGACTAAAAAACATAAGTATGAATCACGCAAAGGCAGCCTTTCAAACTATCTTCAATCACTTCAACTCTGGGCAAATTATTACGTCGTTGTGTTGGATTCAATCCCAGACTGCCAAAAGCTACATTTCCAGTCCTGGCCACAACACACTTGAGACCTCTGCCCCTAACCACAAACCCTTGTATTACAAATAGAGAACATTGCATAAGCAATAAACACAATAAAAGGCCTAGTATGTAATTTTCACAATGGGTGGTAATTGAGGGTCTTTGACTTGGGTAGAAATTTCACACACATGCACATGCACAAACACACACAAACCCATATCTAATCCGTGCTTGTAATCATATGCAAAGTTATCCTACTTTAGCCAACAGAGAGCAGGTTCTACAAGGAGAATTAACTTAAGTGGGGAGATGAAAGGGAAAGGAGAGAAAGAGAGACAGAAGATGTGGGGCCCGTCTCAGCAACAACACACAACACTCACTGTGGTAGAGGCTGAATAAATTCCTCAGAAGATGGTACTTGGTGGTGTAATCCCCAGCCTCGGATAATGGAGCATCGTAATCTGAAAGATAATGCGCTATCAGAACAGCAGGCTCGGGAGCCAGAGAGAGGCAGGGATGCCTCTTACCGTGGCAGATGCTTTCACTGTGCTCCCCTATCAAACATCTTGAGACAGCAGCGGGCCGAGACACATTTTGGGTTATCTTGACAGAAAATGGAGCCGTTTGAGGCAAAAAGGTAAAGAGCATTCAGAGGAGTAAACGCAGGTATGAAGCCTGCTGAAGGTCAGAGGTGGTCTGCCCTACTGCGCTTTCAGAATTCTCCTCTTTCTCAATGGCGAGGTCATTACAATGTTGCTATACCCTAGAGGAAGATATAAAAGCCATCGTAGCATCTTTAATTTATATTTCCCATGCATTTTATTAGGCAATGAATTCATTAGTGTGCACTGAATATTCAAATTTCAAAGCAGCCGAAGGTCAGGGGCTCAGGAGTAGGGATAGCGCCATCTACAGACATTTCAAATATCCTAATCATGTTTTAATTTACCTATCCTATTCACAGTCAGAAAGGGTTACTGTAGTAATTAATAATTGTTAGTAATTGTGAATATGTGTCTGGCTATTAAAATGCAGTGTTGTGTTGAATCCTTGTTACAGGAATCCTGGTTCAACCCTGACTAATCAACCCTGTACATACAATTTCTCCTCCAACAGTAACTCACAGGAATTTTTTGCTTATTCCAATGTTACAAAATGCTGGACAAAAGCAGATTCATTGCACATACCGTAGCTTGTTACCATAGGTTTAGGTGCAGGCATTCCAACGGCGAATGCCCCACTCATGAAGCCAAAATTTGTCCCTCCGTGGAACATGTACAGGTTGATGGACATGTCCAGTTTAAGGATCTCTGTGACCACAGGTATGATGTCTGTCAAAGACGAAAGAAACAAACAAATCTGATTGAATAAATAAAGTCTATGATTTAGCTTAATTATTCTGATATAATCAGTAAAGTTATCAGAGCAGGACAAATACAAAGCTAAACATTAAGACCCATGAGCAACAGAGAAAAAAAGACTTTCATATGCATCTTACTTCAGCTTCAACAAGCCAGAGCCCCTGTTTCAATAATCCTATCAAACCTCAATTCCACTTCAATTGAAACATGGACAGACCTCTGCCACACATCCTATTACAGGTTACTATAATTCATTACAGGGCAATGCTCACACCCATGAAAAATTGCCTACCTCCCTGCACAAATTAGCTACCAATATTTTGCAGCGAACACAGCAGAGCAAGTCATTAAGTATTCAAACTGGACTTTAATAGTCAAATTGGACTGACTTTAATGATTTGAATCAAGGGCATGAGCCTCAGTGAATAACAATTGAGCAGGGTGAGTGACAGAACCGGACACGGTTGGTTTCATGGTGGTGGTACTAGCTGTGACCAACTGCTCGGTGTGTTGCAGTCTGCAGAGCACTGAACTGTCAAGGACATGAATCCCTTCTGAATATTCCAGAGTTCATTTCATAGCTGTGTGGTGAGGGTCCCTTTTTTTCACTTTTCCCTTTCTCACTGAGGAGAAAGTACATAAGAAAGCCTTTTTCATTTTCAGAACATTTTTTTGTTAAGATGTGGATGGCTGCTGGGAATGATGTAAAAGGAAGCTTGAGGCTCTGCACTGTGTTTGAAATAAGATGTTTCTGAGAGCACTCAAGATGGTGAGAGCAGGGTGTGTGATTTCCATTCATCTTTGCAATTGTGAAACAGGTCCTATCATTTATGTCACGACTGTTACATTACACTAAAAATATCACCCTCCTGGCTGAAGCATGTAGAGCATGTTATATGGCTGGTATTTGGGACATACTAAGGGCCCAATACCAACATTCAGGACAACCTAAATAGCTTATGGCATATGTGTACAACATGCAGCTGAAACAACTAGTGCATTAACTGAAATAAACACAGGATTGGCAATTCTGAAAATCCATTAATTATTTATTAGTCATCAAGCAAAATTCCAAACATTTCCTGGTTGCAGCTTCTCAAATGCAAATATCTGGTGCATTTCTGTTTTGTTAGCACATGCACAAGGACGCACAAGCATGTGGGCAGTGGTGGAAAGTGCGTATTGTATTTAAGTACAATTTTGAGGTACTTGTGCTTTACTAGTATCTACATTTTATGCTACTTAGTCCTTCTATTCCACTACATATCTGATAGATTATAGTTACTCTACTACTGAAGATATTTTATACAAATACATTTGTTCCCTGTAAAATCTCCTCATCAATCTTTTTTGGCAGAATATGTGATAAGAATATTCCAGCCAGTTTTCAGTGAAGATCCAATTTGTTTTAACTATTTTCTAAAATCAAGGTGTTGTTGTTGTTAATTTTATTTATATTCTAGTGCAACAACACACCTTGTACTTGAAGATGTTCAATTCTTTAGATGGGTTAATTTGAATTAAAATTGGTAAAATACTTTCTGCACTGTTTTTTTGGGGGGGTTTTTTAAAGGATTTTAGGGCCCAAAAGACCCTTTTCACAGCAGACATTTTGACTGGCAACACTGTATTTGTAACATTAATTAATGTAATATTCTATGTATGTGAGCAAGTTGTAATACTCTGGGATTACTGGGACACTGTAAATTGTTAATGTTGTTATTTACACACAAAATTTCTGCTATGAAAAGGATCTATTGGGAGCCAGAATTTTCTCTGAGATTGGTGTTTTTGCTCTGTTAGAGACTGAACTGCCAAACATTAAATAAAGTAATTAAGCTCCACAAGCAGGTACAACAATACAACGTTACTTACCCATTGATGCATCAATAATATTAACCCAATAACATAATGGATACAGTATATAACACTATGAAATGGACCATTCCTAATCCCTCTTCTGCTACTGATCGACTGTAATAAGGAGCAAAACAAATTTAGCAATGAACCAACAAATGCCATGAAGAGGAGGGCTGCTGGCAAGTAATCATCATTTAAACAATGTAGATTTCAATTTCTTCCAAAAATCTACTCTGCAAATGTCATGTGAGGAAAAATGTGTGACAAAAAAGCCCACAAGGACACACACAAACTATGAATGGAAACATAACTTCACAGGATAGTTTTAAGTCCTACGTCACACATGTTTTGTCATGCCTTACTGTATTTTCAGGTGCAGGCAGTTAAAAATAGCAAATATGCAACCTGTGACTTATAAGACATTGTAGTACATAATTAATAGTACAAAGTACTGTATGTTCCCATCAACGGAAATGTAATTTAATATAGCCAAGGGCAGGGCAGTCCTAGTGTGTATCTGTAGCTACGGCACATGTAGGCAAAGAGAAGGTGGGAGAGCATGAGATGAATGTGAGTCCCACAAAGTGAAACATCTCCACCCACAGTACAGTCAGTCAGAATCAGTGGAGAACGTCTTTGAACAATCCTGTACAAGGATGTGTTTGAAAATCTGGCCTCATCAAATTTATGGCCAGGAGAAAAAGTTAAGAGGTCAACACACTGACTCTGGTTTGTGCTACTTGGTTCACAATGCACCATGCATGAAAAGTATCTCTGACAAAGCCACACAACAAGGACGGAATGACCATATGTTACGCTGCACTAAGTGGGCTCTGTGCCTTTTGTGAAGGAACCATGGCATTAGAGAGACTGTCTTACATTCAGTCTGGAGAATTTATCTTACACAAGCCACATAGCACAGAGTTTGTCCTTACTTTGTCTTTCCTCCGGCAAAGAAACTGTTTCATTCTCAGCTAAAAAGGTTTGTCTTAAGCCTCCCTTAGCCTAAGGCACTGAGACTGTGTCTTACCCCCAAGACTGTCGGTTATTTCTGTATTGGCTTGCAGCACAAAACCTGTCTTACCCCAGTCTCGAGATAGCCAGCATTATCGACCTTCTGTACAGAAAGAAACTGTTTCGCCCTCAACAAAGAATCCATCAGCAGAAATCCTGTCTTAGTCTCATGTGAACACCTCTCTTTCTCTGAGCGCTAAAGAGAACCTGTCGACCCATCTTAAGTTTGTCTTACCCTCAGCTGCGTACACATGATGAAGTTCTCCCCAAAGATCAAACCAGCCAGACCAGTACTCCATCACCAACTTAGGCTTCTGAGGCTAGTAGAAGAAAGAAAACGGTTACACAGTTACAGAAGATACAGTTTCTTTCTGTAACTGCCCTTCAATAAATTGTCTTAAAGTTTAAAGAAGTTTTTTTTAGGTCTCCAGGACAGTCTATATATTGGAAAGCACAAGGATAGCTAATGGTGTGTCTGTTTGATGTTTGATTATCAGAAAACTGCTCCAAAACATGAATTAAATAATAATGAACAAGGAAGGCAGTGACACACTCACTTGTATTTCATCTAGATACTTGATGTCATTCGGGTTCAGTTTCTGGAAATTGATGGTTTCTAGTGCTTCAGATGAAAAAAAGGTACAACAATATTGTCAACACATAATAACAAAGATGGAGAACATCAGTTCAAATTAATACCAAACACGCTTTGTTGGCTACTATGATTATTGTTTAGAGCTGTACTTAAACCCTCACATACTTATTCTGTTGTCCTTAAAGAACTAGTAGTCCCACATGGCACCTGTTAGATCCATATAAAGCAAAAGTGTCTTCACATCACAAAGTTAACAGGCATTAAAATGGTCTAATGTAAGCCTCTGCACTAGGATTCAGTCAATGAGGCATCAAACTACAACTGTTCACCTTACTGTATATATAACATGCTAATCTGGAATCGAAATTTAAGAGTTGCATTAAAACATTTTGTGAATTCCCAGAGGGTGGTTTATTATAACAATACCCTGGAAGATCCCGTCCTGTAAATATGATGATGATGAGAATGACGATTCATGGTTTGCAGTGATAATAAAAGCAGAAATACTACCTTATTATGGCTAATGTATGTGCATTAAAATAGCAAGGGTGCAAACAATAGAAAAGAAATAAGATTTTTATTTCCCAGCCTCACAGTGTTTATGCCAGTGTACATGGAAAAGGAACAACTTGCTGGCACAACACAGAATCCTTTGTGTGTAGAATCTGGTTCTGAACTGCAGCTGCCTGACACTTGGCTCAGACCTCTTGTCACACACATCAACAACCATACTGCACATGTGTGTGTATTTGTTTTGGTGTGTGTGTGCTCTGTATTGTTTGTCTTTCAGCCTATCTGACAATACCTCCTTTCACTCCTCCAAGCTTTAGTCCTTCCTTGTTGTCTGAGGTCAGCAGCAGCTCCGTGACGCCCCTTGACAATAACGCCTGGAAAGAAGGGGGATTATGGGGGCAACTAAACAAAAAAGTGGAGGTTCTTTCTGAAATATTACTGATTGATTTTTCTTTTGAAAAGCAAAGTGAGTGGGTAAAGGAAAGCAGATATAACAAGGCAATAAATATTACATTTAGTTTCTTACCTCTTTGATGAAAGGCATGTACTCTTTATCTTTGGCATAGGAGCCATATTCATTCTCCACTTGAACTGCAATAATTGGGCCACCCTTGGAGTACTGGGCATTAATTAGCCAATGAAGAGAGGACATATATTAGGGCTTGGCACCAGTTCTTGATCATTCCTACCCTCAGTACAGCTGAATTTTAAAAACGCTGTGAAATGGAAATCAGAGCTTGTTTAATGATGCGTGCAGCTGATAAAAAGAAAATATGTCAGTTTACAATTTAGGTGTGTATGGTGTGTCGCGTTGCCAATAATGGGTACCACATGGTCAACAGCAGCTGGTTATTGCAGTTTCTTCTTGGAGGTGGTAACAAAAATATTGTATTCAGGCACAAAATATGATGCAAGGGTTCTTTTTAAAGATGATTGACAAGTTTGTATGCATGTAACCATAAAAACTCAAAACATGTAATTGAGAAAGCTTGTCTATTTTGAGTATATATGTATTTTAGTCATATTTGTATTAAATATTTTCTTTCATGTAATTATTCTAGAATATCTTACAGTGTGTCACAAGTGTGTATCAGTCAAACTACTTTTTATTTCAAAAAGCAATTCCTTTGCTCAAATGGAAAGTACCTGATGTGGAACAACTTTCTTAATGAGCTGATTAAAGAAGGAGTTGACGGCGTTGGTGAATCCCGGGTAGGTTGTTCTCAGTTTCATGTTTGGATCCCGTAGTAGCCAACTGAAAAGAAATCACCACAAAACCTTTGAAATGTCCAAAAAAAGTAACATATACGAGTTCTTCAAAGTCCTGTGCTGAACGTTTTTAGCCATCGAAGATAATCGCACCAACCTAAGCATGACTATCATAAAATGTGGTGCAGAGGAAGTCATGCTTCACAGCGTGCCCCTAGAAACACTCTGTTTTGATGATTATCAAATAAATATTACCTCAACCTCACATTCCCTGAAGGCAAAACTACTCCAAAAATACCTACTTCAAGTCTTTTTCCCTCCAATATTCATCATATTATCTGTCCAAATCTGATTACAGAACTAAATGAATTCATCCTTTCAGGGAGATATGCCTGTCAGGTTTAATTATTGTTCTCTATAATACATCACCAAAAGTCAGCTAAATCATCACTGCCTTTCAGTGACATTAGTGGTTAACTTCTGTGATGTATGATGTCCTCCAACCATGTCTTCCACTGTATTTGAAGTCTTGTTGCCTTTGTTGTATTATACATGAGCAACACTGTAAACTGGACTAATCAGACCAAGATGAATTCTGAACACATCTGCTGAAACTGGCCAAACAGATGACAAAGACAGCACACTTGAAATAAATCACATAACTAAACTATGAGTTATTTCCAAGAGTTGAAAGAATTCTGCCTGCAGGAAAGACACTGCTAACAAACAGATTACCTCACTGAACAATTCATTTCCAAGCCAATTTAAGGGATTAATTTAGCCCCCCTCTGGCTATTTTTAAATAATGCATTACAATGTTACTAAGGCTGTAAGGCAGATACAAAATATCAGCAAAGGTAACACTTAATTGTGGCTCTGGGATCTTTACCTGGGGAGTCCTCCTAAATCCCACTCGGCACAGATGTACGGCCCGGGACGCAGAATCACCCAGAGTCCCAGATTGGCAGCAAGGCGGAGGTAGGCGCTGAGAGAAGGATGCAAAAAGGTGCTGTCAGTAGGGTCTATTTATTGTCAATACATTTCAAATGTTTACTGCAGCAGATATAAAGTGGGGTCAGATAATCATTATTATTTATTATTACTTCAAAATGAAGCAGTAGTTCGATAGCAAATGATATGTCATTCATTCTGAAATATTCCATTACATTTATTTTTTCATATTCAGATCTTTTTTTTTTTCTAGCACTAGACTTGACAGCAAACAACCCATCTGATGGGTCTGTGACATCGCAATCAATAAATTATGAATCATTGATGCTGTGCACCACTAATTAATTCATTTCTTAAGGGTAAACTCAGCAGTATCAAATTATTCAGAGCTGTGCAAAGCTAAAAGCCATTCTGCAATGCAACAGTGCCATCTGCAGGAGTTCATCTGCATCTGTAGTCTCATGATGTCTCCCCTTCATCGTTCCTTACTCTAAATCCAGCTGATCCTCAAAGTTGAACACCCCTTGCTCAGGCTCGTGCAGGTTCCACGGCACATACCTGAAAAAAATACATAAGACAGATAATTTTTTGTGTGCTTTCAAAGTTCTTCATAAAACTATGACTAATGAATTCTGTCTACTCTACTTTTTGTCACTCAGATTATATTTGATCTGTGTTTATTCTGGTGCCTTAAAAGAGATTACATTCAGCCAGCAGTGAGTTGTAGAGGGAACCTACGTTGTGAGAGTATTTAGGCCACAGGCTTTCATCTTCAGCAGCCGGTCCTCCCAGTAGGCTCTGGGGACGCGGAAGTAGTGGATGGAGCCCCCCAGGATGCGGAAGGGTTTTCTCTCCAGAGTGAACTGAGACAAGTTGGCCCTCAGACCCTCCACACGGCTCATTTTTCTCACTTCACTGTGATTCCTAGGGGGGCAAAATGCAGTTTACAACTGAAAAAATAACTAGTACAACTGGATCAAAGGCCATGAAGACATTTGAGACATGTTTCTACGATGGGAAGCGAGCTTGTGAATGAATATTTAAGCCCAGTTGAAAGAAATCTCCTTCATGGAATTCATGGTGGCACATCTTATGGTAGGTGTGCACATGAGGGTGTAATGAATGTAACCATAACAGCTCATAAACAGGACAAACTGAGGTCTAATACAGTGACAGGTAACATGTTTCGTGTAGTCATGTTCAATGTCCACAGGCCAACAAGTGAGCCAGGTGAAAGTTCACAGGAATAGAGCTGAGTCCTGAATATAGGTAACAATGTAACCAAGCAAACACACAGAAACATAAGGCAACAACAATGTCTGTTTACTAGTACAGTTTCAGAGGGCGGGCTATTCGTCTTCATGCGTGACTCGTATTAAGAGTTGACAGAAATGTCTCCCTTCAGGTTTATGCTAGCTGCAGAAGTGCTTGCCTTACCTTGTAAACTGATATGCAAGTATCCCTCCGACAGCAACACACAGCAGGAGAAAATATCTTTGTTTTAGGGAGAGACGAAGACCAAACATTGATAATGTTTCCATTGGCAACTTCAACACGACTTGAACAGCTCTAACGTGTATGCGAATTGCGTGTTATACGAGTAAGTTGTAGTCATCTAACGTTAGTATGTTAACCCAGTTTGACAGTAGACAAACAAAAATCACATAATAACGCCAATTAAGTTGAGCTACCCTACCCCATATTCACTTAATCCTGTGATATTCGTAACGTTATTTCCGGGATTAATAACAAAAAAAACGAAGTTTGGTCTACGAAAAACTAAAGTATTTCTAACTATATCCAGTTGTGGAAGCTAATATAACCGGTGTTTGTGACAGACGAAGCTACCGTTTGTTGCCCAAAAGTACACACTAAACCCGCCTGTAGCTACTGCCTGTATAATAGGGATCGTCGCTCAATTACTCTGCTGGAAAAAACGCCGAAAATTAAAACTGTCTAAATGTCCCTAAGTTTGTCTTAGCTAATTACTTCCAACAAGAGTATTATCACTACCAAACAATCCTTATCCTTAAATCCTTCTTCTGACTCTCATGATCATAAGAATATTAAGTTTTTTTTATATATACCTATATATATGTATAGCCTAATATATATATATATATATATATATATATATATATATATATATATATATATATATCTTGCATTTCCCAAGTTGAAAGCGAATATTGTTTTTACATCCATACTTTTAATACCATTGTTCTCCACAGAACAGTCACCACAGTCTCCTTCGGGTGGCAGCCGTCACAGTTGCCAGGATCCTGTCTCAGATTTAATTTAGTCCTGTATGTCCTATTCTCAGCCCTTTGATCAGTCGTTCTTTACACGTAGATAAAACCCTCCTCTCATCCATTTTTCAATTTTATATGTCCTATGCTGACTTGCCATCCCCAAATCCTTGCCCTACAATCTAATTCTGTTTTTAACAATATTAGATTTTTGACCAGTTTATTGGAGTTGCAGTGCGCTGTTTTATATACAGTATTTATGATTACATGGCAACACCCGAATTAGCTTACATCCACAGACTGACTCGTGAAGGCCTCATCAGTTCCTAACAATTTGCAGAATATCCTGTCAACCTCTTGAGAAAGCCAGTCTCAGACAGATTTGACTGAAATCTGATAACATTTTTTGATTAAGGGCAAAACAGTGTCAACCATGTCAAAAAACATAATGTTGAAAGCACTGAAACAACTCTCAAAAGCATAGGCCAAGAGTCCACTCAGCTTTATGATGTAGTACTTGCAAACAGCATTTTTTTGTGTGAGCAGTCATAGTCTTGAATATTTCACTCTGAACACTGCAGAACTATGTCATACATACATATAAATAAATATATCAGAACATTTTGCTTTTAAGAAAACATCTTTTTGGTCTGTAATTTGTAGCAGTGCTCTTTACCCTTTGATTTTGACTTTTTATCTTATCAGTAATCATAAAATGTTGATGTGCTCTGTGAGATAATGTATCAACCATACATTTATGCTACTGCACACTAACTTATGACCACAGTTGCACATGGTCCCTACACGGCATCAGTACATTATGGAAACTAACATTACTGTGTACATTGTAATGCCTCCCTTCTCTCACAGTGCTACAGAGAGAGAGAGAGAGAGAGAGACAGAGCACTATTCTAGTTTTGTTCTGAAACAACAATAGTTTCCCTTATCCACAGTGTTTGAGGCCTCCCAGCACCATCCTCCCTTCAAACACACCCTACCAAGCTCAGCATCAAGGTACAGCTTTGACCATGTTTTTTGTTTAATTGGGATTTTCTGTAATTTTGCATTCTGGACTTTTTCTTGGTAAGTTTATACTTTCGGTGTGCTCATATATCATTTATCACGGATGCATCATTTGAAGTAGCCATGCTGTTTGTAAAGTCTTTATTACAGTAGCACCTATTAAAATGTTTCAAATATTTTTGTATGCCTTTGAATTTTATCATCCCTCACATACAACCTGCTTCAGAAGATGGACTGTTTTCCATTATATTTTATCTAACTGTTTTTCCCCACTAGACATCACCTTGAAGTGAAAAGAATGAGCCGTGTGGAGGGTCTGAGGGCCAATTCGCCTCAGTTTACTCTGGAGGGAAAGCCCTTCCTTGTCCTGGGGGGCTCCATCCACTACTTCCGTGTCCCCAGAGCCTACTGGGAGGACCGGCTGCTGAAGATGAAGGCCTGTGGCCTCAATACTCTCACAACGTAGGCTCCCTCTGCACCTTGACTATGAATCACATTACAGTATTTCCACTGTTCTTTCACCGGAGAAGGTCAAAGACAGATTAGATTAAATCAAATGTGTTTGTATGAAACGCGACAATGAAACATTTCACCTTAAAATGTAATAGAAACAAACCAAATACCAGAATTGTATGAGCCAGTGGACCACAGTACTGCCTATAAGCTACAAAGAATGGCTTTCTTGCTTGCTTTTTCAGATATGTGCCATGGAATCTGCACGAGGCTGAGAGAGGAATATTCAACTTTCAGGATCAGCTGGACCTCAAGTACAGCTTCCATATTATTTGTTCTTCCTCTTTGGTACATATTTCCAAAAGACATGCCAAATGGTTCTTTCATTAATGAAGCAGAAGTTGTCTCTGCCTTTCTTAGGGCCTATGTCAGTTTAGCAGCAGAGATGGGGCTGTGGGTGATCCTGCGTCCTGGACCTTACATCTGCGCTGAATGGGACTTGGGCGGGTTGCCTAGGTAACACCATCTGTCCATTACTGTAAAATATTGCCATATAAGCCACCAATGTTGTCCCTACATTTCTTTCAGCTGGTTGCTACAAGATAAAAACATGCAGTTGAGGACGACTTATCCTGGATTTGTAGATGCTGTCAACCTCTACTTTGACAAGCTTATCTCAGTTATCAAACCACTGATGGTAAATCAAACTTTCAAACTTGTGATAATATTTCATGTCAAACCTTTCCTGAAATAATAATTGGAGGCTTCAGTGTGAAAAAAACATTAATTTCCCCCTTGTTTGTTCTTTTAGTTTGAGGAGGGAGGGCCAATAATTGCAGTTCAAGTTGAGAATGAGTATGGATCATATGCCAAAGATGAGAAATACATGGCATTTATAAAAAATGTGAGTTTATTGATGTTTTTTTTTTTTACTGAAATCTTTACTATACAAATTACAAAATGTATGCAAAACAAAAATATATATTCTTTTCCTGCAGTGTCTCCAGTCCAGAGGGATCAAGGAGCTCCTGCTGACCTCAGACAATTGGGAGGGCTTGAGATATGCAGGGATGGAGGGAGGTAATGAGGATTATTTTACTGTTTTGTAATTTACCCCTTAAAGTGCATTATTTTTGAGGATTTATTTAAAAAAATAGAGTGTGATATAGATTGAAACCCTTAATATATCTGTGGTGAATCAAATTTGTGTGGCTTTACATGATCTACTTATCAACTCTATTTTTCTGTGCACAATAATAATAACACAATATACTTTATGTGTAATTCTTGCTCATTTTAGTTCTAAAAACAATAAACCTCCAGAGACTGTCATTCGGAGCTATCCAGTGCTTAGCTGACATGCAGGTAGGTGTTTGTAGTGTGACTTTAGCACTTACTAATGATTATTTATAAGAGTACAAAAAAAAAAACTGTATTGTGTAAGAGCTTGAACTAAAAGCCCATAAAGATTGTGTTTCTCATTAAAGCTTATTATGGCTCTTAAATTACAGTAGACAGTAAGATATGTATGTAATATAGTCATATGTTTTGTGTAGCCCCAGAAACCTCTAATGGTGATGGAGTATTGGTCTGGGTGGTTTGATGTCTGGGGAGACCATCACCACGTGTTCCATGCTGAGGGTATGGGAAACACTTATCATTTATCTGAGATCAATTTAAGCATCCTTTGCGTTCCATTATGCACTCAGATGCTCCACAATGGCCAGTGCGTGTTTGCTTGTGATTGTATATAGGCTTATGAAGGTAATTCAGAATGTCAGTCCTGAGCTGCTGGGTTCAGGTAACGTTCAAGGACATTTCAACTGACAGAGAAGAGCATTACTCCCATACTTAACAGCTCATTCATTTATTGGCTCATTTTGAGTATTATGAGATCATATATTATCATGTGGTTTGCAGATATGCTGGCTGTTGTGTCAGAGATCCTGGAGAGAGGTGTCTCAATTAATCTGTACATGTTCCATGGGGGAACCAGCTTTGGCTTCATGAATGGAGCGATGGACTTTGGCACCTACAAACCTCAGGTCACCAGTTATGGTTGGTTCAGAGACCAAAGAACAAAGGATGTTTCAGATATTGGATGGATATGATTCCCATTAAGAAATGCATTGCTTCTTACAGTTGTTTGCAAATGTGTTCATTGCAGATTACGACGCTCCGCTATCGGAGGCTGGAGATTGCACCCAAAAATATCAACTCTTGAGGAATTTATTCAGCCAGTACCACTGTAATGTATTTTTAAGCATCCACGTGCATTGGTTGCATTACAAATTTTATGAGAAACTATGTACACCTAATAACTGATTTGAATTTCTTACCTAGAGTAATTGAGTCTGTCATAATTAGCATTAATTAAATGTTTTTACCAACTTGTGTTCCAGCTGAGCCTCTTCCTGAAGTGCCCTCTCCTCAGGAGAGGAGAGCATACGACCCTGTAGTCATCCAGTGGCACCTGTCACTGTGGGACAGCCTGCACCTCACCAACAAGGTAGGCTGCAGATGGCAAGCCCCTGTCTGGTGTTACAGTTGACTATATAATCTACAGAATGCAAAATGTTGTATCCAGACTCCAACTAGACCATATCGTCGGATAGATATAGGGATCATGCTGGGATGAGAGCAAAATGTAAGATGTGGTAAGTTTCAGACAGACAGAAGATCTTTGTTATCAGCTTCAGTGTCTCCGTGTGTGTGTGTAGAAATCTTGCTGCTCATGCTCAAGACAGATGTCTCACTCCAGCAGCTCGAGTTTGCTCAAATACCAAGGTGTCAACACACCTGCTTTTTTTTTTAGAAGTATCTGTCATATGCTGTTTGGTAGACTCCCAAGTGTGTTGCAGTTTCATGCATGCAGACATATCTTGTGATTTCATTCAGTTGGAATGGAACTTCTTAACCCCAGCAGGCCCCTGACTGTAAAACTACACAAATGCAGTTTTCATTTCATTGTGTTTAGAGGTCTAATGTTTACTGTGTTCTGCCAGATTCTTGTATTTAATATGTAAGATTGTTTGACTTTTTTATCCAGCCATACAGGTCAGAGATGCCAGTCAACATGGAGAATCTCCCTGTCAACAATAACAATGGTCAGTCATACGGTTACACACTGTATGAAACCACCATTGCCAGTGGAGGAACCCTCAACTCCAGGAATAATATCAGAGACAGAGCACTGGTGAGGACATGCATATTGATCAACAGACAGGCACACATATGCAATACAATATCGTTTTTTGATATTTTTTGTTGAAGTTATACATAATCTTTTAATTGTGACTTTTTAATGTTCTCTAGGTTTTTGTGGACAGACAATGTGTTGGTAGTTTGGACAATAAGACTCACGAGCTGACACTTCCTGATGGAAAGGTACTGACTGTTTTTGTTTGTGTTAATAGATATCGTATTAATTTAAAAACAATTTTGTTTGTTTTTATTTATCTGCAGGATTATGATCAGCAGCTAACAGTCATTGATGTGAGGTATTGCCTAAATGTTATAATCAATGACTGAAGCCAGTGTAACTACACTGATTTAAATATACATATTAAACATATAATGGGCCAGCTTTTCAGAGGTTTTCTGTAAAGGATTCCTGTTACTGTGCGAACAGGATTTAAAGGAACTTGCAACAATATGTGATTCTGAGAAGCTGTATTCATTGCATGCAGACCCTTTCAGAGTGTTAGTCATTAATTTAATTTGACATAAATAAGCACAGAAATACTCCAGTGCTTCATTGTGGTCATGTTTACTGAACAATTTTCCTAATGACACTCATGTTTTATGCATCAAAGGGAGAAAGAACGTTGGGCTTACTTGTGGAGAACTGTGGAAGAGTGAATTATGGGAAAGCTCTGGATGACCAGCGCAAAGGTATTCAACTGTCTTGTTATGTGCATTGCAAATGTAGGCTGCAGTCAAACCATTATTTATAATTAATTTTAAGGTTGTGGCCCACCACACCCATGCAAAAAGATGGAGATGTCTGTGTATGTTGTTTGGTCTGGTCTATTTTTGCCTTACAGGTATTGTGGGAGACGTTATGTTGAATCACACCCCCCTGAGAGGATTTACCATCTTCTGTTTAGATATGAAGCCAGGCTTTATGAAAAGGTTGGTTAACTGAATTTCATTTTTCATTCTGTGAAAAGGGCCAGACATTTGTTCGTTGTAAATTAAAGGGCAGTTTCACCCTAAAATACTTCACCAGTCTACATATCTGACTCAATTTTGGTGTGATGTGGGTATATATCTAGCTACCTTTATTTACAGTACAGAATATGCCCACTCATGAACTATTGGTTATATAGTCAAATAGTTAATGTGCTTACTTGGATGTTGATGATGAAAAGCATGCTGGAAATTGTGGGAAATCATAATTAAAGTAAACAAGTAACAAGTTAACAAGACAGACAGAGCAAATTAGTATACCAAACTCCAACATTTCATGATATCACAGCACCTATCAAAAAATAACTGTGCAGCAGAGAATCCTTCTTGCCTCATAATGTCCAGATTGATTTTAGTGTTGTGTGATTACAGGGAGTGTTTCAAATGAATGTTTGATCTTGTTTCAGGTTAATGAGTTCTGGTCGGTGGAAGTCTGACCTCAAGACGCCCTCCATTCCAGGGTTTTTCCAGGCCAGACTGTATGTGGACAGTCCTCCCAGAGACACCTTCATCAGACTCCCTGTTAGTAGGAAAGATATTCTATTAGAACTAGGAAATGTTCTACTGATCTACTATTTCAAATGTATATCTTAATTTTTAATACAGTACTTTGCATGCATGTTAAATAACCATATAATGCAGCGCCTTAGTTTTGCGTTACATATATATGTACTCTAATTAAGAATATGTTTGACACAGTCTGATGCCTTATGTTTTTTCCTCTACATTAATGTTTGACATTAATACTTGTCAGACTTCCCACATTGTCATTTTACTGATCATACCAGTGCTTCCATCCACAGGGTTGGGGTAAAGGAGCCGTGTTTGTCAATGGACAGAACCTTGGACGTCATTGGTTCATCGGCCCCCAGCAGTTCCTTTATCTACCAGGAGCTTGGATGAAAAGTGGAGAGAATCAGGTATATTCATAGATTCTAATAAGATAAAACGAGAGTGTTTCACTTTGGTTGAGGGGAAGTTTACCTCTGCTTTCTATTTTTCTATGTAGGCTAACTATAGTATGTTGTGTATTTTTTGTGTTCTCTTTCAGATTATTGTTTTCGAGGAACAAAAGGCGGCTGACAAAGTAGTGTTCGCTGAAAATCCTGATCATGGAAGGACAATTGATGTTTACAAACTCCCCTTTTGCACACTGCTGTGAAAATAATGTACAGCAACAACACACATACTTTTGCACGTGGCAAATATCGTCAATGATTTAAAGCTATTGATTTACTAACTGTGATATTTTAAATTGCTATTGTACAGCACTATGGTTTGTTTCTTCAAAGGTTTAGTGAAGTGTTACATCTTGCCATTGTTTCTGTTGCCATAAACTGAACAATGCAACACCGCCTGATTTGTCTTGTTTTCTTATTTCAGTATGAACCATATATCCTGTCAATGGTATGAGCTTTGCTTTGATGAGAAATAAATAATAGTTTGAACCTTTGACAGCGCGGCACGCCCCCACAAGCTCCTCATTGGACCAAAGGCTTGTCCTTTACATGAGCGACGCTCTCACCTAACTGCACGCAACCATTCAATCAGAAAGAAAGCCTAGTAACCAGAGAGGACGTTGTATATTCCTTCACAATAAAGGGCAAACATTTGTTAGACTGGCCCGCACAGAAAAATGTAGACTAATTACACAAATAATATTGACATAATAATCATCCTTTATTCCCTGTATAAACATGTAATAGGTAACGAACCACAAATTGATTCTGTCATATGTGCATTTTGTCGCTATGAATTTATTTTGAAAACAATAGCCGGAAGTTCTTCATGTAATCCTAGCTAGCTCGACTTGTAACGTTACATGTAGCCGCCTGATATTCCTGTGTAACAGCAATTGCGGAAAGAGCAGTCGGTAGCAGTTGCAGAAGAGTCGACTAACTTACATGCCCTTCACAGCCTTTCTTCACTAACTTTATATTAGCTACTTTTGACCGTGAATGTACGGGTTGAATTACGACTTTAGCAATGGGAGCATAGCACTTGTAGGTGCAGCTCCACAGTATCTTAGCCTAGCCAAGCTGAGCTGCTGAACTGGACCAGTTGAGGGTAGGATATTAAGTTTAGCTAAGTGGAGTTTTTTCTTATAAATAAAGGTTTGCTTCCGCATCCTAGCATGGAGTCATTTGGAGCCATTGGTACAGTTCTTGGGTGCTCTGCGGGCATTGCTCTGGGTGGGCTTGTGTTTGCAGCCTACAAACTTGGCTTGCTCTACCAGTTGTTCCACAAGGTAGGTTGTCACAACTCAACATGGTAATTGTGTCATCTGTGCTTTTCTCTTCCTTTCTCCACATGCATATTACAATAAAGCAGCATTGCACAGATCAGTCATGGCAAACACACCTGCATCATCTGTGCTCACCCTAAGAAAGTCACCTGCATTCAGTAGGCTGTTAAAGGTGAAAGGTAAGATGGACTCCATTCACAGAAAAACTTTGACCGGCCTTGTGGTTTTCTGGTACAAAGGCTATCACAACAACAAGGCTGTTAGTGGGATTGCACAAAGCTCAGAGCCACACCACCACTGCAAGCCAGAACAATATGTGGTTGTTGTGAAATATGAAAGGCCACTGGGGTGAAGAGATAGCGTGACAGGTGACCTTTAAAGTGGCCATCAGCTCACACTGACAGATGTTTATCTATGCCGGAGCTGTATTCTAGTTTACAACGTTGTTTAAATCAGTAATGTCACAGGAATCACTTGAATAGTCTCCTCTCTGACTTAACTTTTATTCTGTCCTCCTACTCACTTCAGACTGAGACAAAGAGCCCACGACATGGCGGCGAGAGTGTGGCAGAGGTGCTCCGCGCCCATGGGGTCAAGTACGTTTTCACCCTTGTCGGTGGACACATCTCCCCCATCCTGGTGGCTTGCGAGAAGGTGGGCATCCGCATTGTGGACACCAGGCACGAGGCCACTGCTGTCTTCGCTGCTGATGCTGTGGCAAGACTCTCAGGTGCAGATTTGCAAGGATAGATCAGCCAAAATGACCCTCAGTCATATCTTGTGTACCGACAGTTGAGGAGAATAAAGGAAATGGGTGTGCTGTTGCATTGCTAAAGGTGTGTCTTGGTTCAGACTGCGGTTGATTTGACTTCTCAAACACAGGTGTAACTAACAGCATTAATATTGCCAGTGTTTTGAGAGAGTGTCTTGCATAGTTAGTTCACCGAGTCAGTTGTGAGTGTTTTTAAGGGCTGGTTGCTACCTTCACTGTCTCTCCCCACCAGGCACTGTTGGTGTAGCAGCAGTGACTGCCGGCCCAGGCCTCACTAACACAGTGACTGCAGTGAAGAATGCACAGATGGCTGAATCTCCATTGCTGCTCATGGGAGGAGCCGCTGGTACACTACTTCAGGTGGAGTCGATTCAAATACATGCAGATATGATGTCAGTAGAATAAAATAACAGAACAAAATAGCCTAATAGAGCAGCGTGTTTTTCTGTTGTATAATGCAGCGTATATATGATAGCCCTTTTAAACATGTTGTATCTTGTCTGCTTCTGTGTCTAACCTCTCCATCAACTGTGTTTGTGGCACAGGGTAGAGGAGCGCTGCAAGATATTGATCAGATGTCTCTCTTCAAGCCACTGTGTAAGTTCTGTGCCTCCATCAGGACTATAAGGGAGATCGTGCCTACTGTCAGGAAAGCCTTGGCCATCGCCCAGTCGGGAACTCCCGGTCCAGTTTTCATAGAGTTCCCCATCGACACACTCTATCCCTACCATCTGGTGTCTAAAGAGTTTGGAGTTAAGAACCCTCCCAAAGGCCTGATGGGAAAAGTTGTCTCATGGTATGTTATCTGTGTTTTTTGTAAACGGTGCACATTATTTTAGTGTATGAAAAATACACAGCAACAATAGAATAAGTCGTGCTAAGAGAAGAAAAGACTGATTGTGAAATTATGTATCCACGACTAAAAGCAACACACACCTTGTAAACTTACCATCTTCGGTTCAAGTCTGACCTGGATATTTTATTTTTTCTCTCCCCACACTTTATGTCACTCTCAACTGTCAAATAAAGGCATGAAATGCCATATTACACATAAAATAATTTCATGTGATGTGATCTCTTGTAAGGTACCTCAATAACCACCTCATGAACCTTTTTGCTGGAGCCTGGGAGACCAGAGATGTGTCTCCACTTCCTGTTGACATCCCACAAGCCACAGACGATCAGGTAACACTTAATGGTTTGATGTTACGTGTATGCTCTCGTATGATTGATGTAACAGTTTTTGTTTAAAAACATTGCGGTCAGTCCCTCTTGAGGCATGCAGTATTAAGATGACTAATCCAGCAGTTTGAATGACTTGCTGTTTTTTTTTTTTCTTTCAATACAAATCAGGTACAGAAGTGCATAGAGCTAGTGAGTCGAGCCAAAAAACCTGTTATTCTGCTGGGTAGCCAAGCAACACTACCCCCAACGCCGGTCAATGATATCAGGTAAAGGATAATATGTTATGCCCCTCTCTTCTCCACTTTTCTGTCCTGTGTCTTATAGTTGTTCTGCTACTGTTCAATATTTGGTTTCTTAAGAATATGCTAAAATATTCAGATTCAGTGGCTTTAATTAGTTTTCTATTTAGCATTCGAACTGCATTGAAGTATTGTTTTGTAATTTAACTTAGTGATGCTCAACTGGTCAAAAATGCTTTGTAGGAAGGCACTGGAGAACCTGGGCATCCCCTGCTTCCTTGGGGGCATGTCCCGTGGCATGCTGGGTAAAGACAGTCCCATCCACATCAGACAGAACAGGCGAGACGCTCTGAAGGAGGCTGACTTGGTCCTCTTAGCAGGTCGGGCATACAGTCTTCTTTTAATCCTATATATTAACATTGCAATAACTTCACTTTTAACAGAAGATTACTAGTTAAAGAGATGGCATGGGGTAATTAATTAACACAGTTATAGAGTTGATACATGCTATTGATTGGATAATAACTGGATCTCTGTGTCATAATTCAGTAATTATTTCAATACTTTTTTAAGGTGTCATTAAGTGACAGCTGTTGCTTGTTTAAATGAATTTTAAACCCAATACTGGATGTTGTTTTTATGTTTGTTATATCAGTTAGAGATTGAAGTGTATTTTCAAAGTAGCCATTATAGCCACAGGCTACCCAGAAGTCCTAGAGAAATGTTGACATTGTGTGTTGTTTTTGCAGGCACTGTATGTGACTTCCGGCTGAGCTACGGCAGAGTTCTTAACAGACGCAGTAAGATCATCGCTGTCAACAGAGATAAGACACAGCTACTGAAAAACTCAGATATGTTCTGGAAACCAACTATAGCAATTCAGGGTATGTTCACAAGCTGCCATCATGACACATGGTCTTAATTAAAGGAACCATGTGTCCTTCTTGATCTCTGATTAATGATTACATTATACAGCATAAAAATAAAAAAAACTCACTGGCTCCAATTTTTAAACTGTATAATATGTATTGTTTCAGCCTTATGACTTCAAATACACACTTTTTACTTTTAAATGTAAATATCTGTCTCTTTTAGGTGATGCTGGTTCATTCTTAATGCGGCTTTCTAAAGGCCTGAAGGGCCATCGCTGTCCTGAGGAATGGCCTCAGAGCCTCAAAGCTGGAGATACGACCAAAGAAAACGCTAACAGGTAAGCAGAGGTGATGCTCCCTGTGTGTGTGTGTGTGTGTGTGTGTGTGTGTGTGCGTGTGCGTGTGCGTGTGCGCACAACTCTGTGACTACAAAATACTTTCTCCCTCACATACACGCTGATATTTTTTATTCCAGGGCTAAAGCTGACGAGAAGACTGAACACCACTTAAATCCCTTGAAAGTCCTCCACCGTGTGGATGAGCTAATGGCAGAGGACAGCATCATTGTTGCCGATGGGGGTGATTTTGTTGGAAGTGCTGCTTACATAATGAGACCGAGAGGACCTATGCGTTGGCTGGATCCAGGTTAGATCTTCTTGATCCAAACAGCAATTTGTAAAACAATGGAGGTTTGATTATTTAAATGCAAGAGTAGAGTGCTGGTAATTTCAGCTAAATGAAATGATTAATAATTTCAAGTCAGTTGATTTGTTAACTTTGGTTGTTTACTGTATGAAGACGAAGATCACACGTTTGGGCTACATAATTACATACATAAGTATGCATTACAGTAATGTATTCATTGATCATTATGCTTTCTTTGTTGTCTTAGTGACATAGCTTTACTGTCATTTGTCCCTACAGGAGCCTTTGGAACGCTGGGAGTTGGAGGAGGATTTGCTTTAGGGGCAAAACTGTGTCGGCCTGAATCTGAGGTATAATATGATTCAGGCATTTCTGAAAGGGATCTATCTGATCTATTGATTGGTGTTCACCTTTTATGAATGAAATGCTACTTTGTGTGCTTTTCAGGTGTGGATAGTGTACGGTGATGGCTCCTTAGGATACAGTGTTGCAGAGTTTGACACATTCACTAGACACAAGGTAAAATCATTCATCACAATGCATAATATGGAAATGTGCAATACTAGAGTAAATATTCCAAACATGACGTGCCACTCAGTCCTCAGTACACCTGGCACTCAGTCCTTGAGACGAGGTCTAATCAGCCAAAATAGTCTAAGGGTGTGTAGGGCTTTTAAAAATCTAGTATCAGTCAGTCAGTGTTGTCACAGCAGCTGTATTCTGTAATTGATCATTACTACAGCCATTGTCTGTTGGAAACAATACATTATTAAAATTCACAGAGGTATGGTCGCTTCAATGCTGAATTGACTTTTAGAACTGAAACTCTATTATAGACTTTAGCAGTTTAATAAATGCATTCTTCTTCTTTGTAGCAAAAACATGTATGCTTGTATATCTTTGTATTTGTTTTTCTTCTGATAATCCACAGTTTACTCTTTTTTTCCCCACCTAGACACCAGTTATAGCTGTGGTGGGAAATGATGCATGTTGGAGTCAGATATCCAGAGAGCAGGTTCCCATACTCGGCAGCAACGTGGCATGTGGCCTTGCATTTTCAGGTACATTTTCTACATGGGATGGTACAGGTTACACCCCAACCTGTGAATAAAATGTATGTATATTTATATATGATGACTGGGTAGTTACTAACTGGCAAATTGTGTTTTCTTTTCCTTTTTTCAGATTATCATATAGTGGCGGATGGTTATGGTGGTAAGGGCTACCTTGTAGGCCGTGAGGATGACGACAGGCTAAGCGACATCATCAGACAGGCTCAGAGGGAGACCCAGGAGGGCAAGGCTGTACTTCTCAACGTTCTGATAGGGAAGACCAACTTCAGAGAGGGCTCCATTTCTGTATAGAGTGTAGAGCCCAGCCCTGACCAGACCTATGCTAATCCTTGGTGCCCTTAAAGCCATATTTCACTTTGGAGAGAGGAAATGACTGAACAGTATGCTGATCTCTTGTAAAAGTTTACTGTCACTTGCAATATCACTTTATTCCCTCTTCAAGAGTCAAAAATCATTCTAGTAATACTTCTGCAAACACCAGAGTGATGACTCTGGATATCATTGGGTGACTGTTCATAAACCTGGAATTATTATTATTATTCATAGCCACTTGATTTATCATCATATTTGTTTGCGTTAGTTCTACTTCAATGAAATACTACAGCTCCAGATCTGCCAGCCTAGAAACTAAAGCTTTTGTTGTGCGTCATGCTACTTTCAGGTTCATGTTGTGCTATTCTAGCTAATTGCTGCATTTTAAGAAGGGAAAGAGTGAAAAGCAAGAAAATCTTGCTTTGTTAAGGGATTTTACCTCTTCAAGTGCTTGGGGTAGATTTTTTTACCTCCAAACAGCCTATTAAAACTTTTATTTCTTGCAAATAAACCAGTGACTGAAAATCATCATTTGTGAGAGCATTGGTTTAAGTTATCAAATACAACCAGTATGCCTTTCCTCCTGTTATCAAATAAACGAGGAGCATTTCTATGAGGAAACATGAAATCTTACAGCTGTAATATTCTTTATTGGTTTATGATTTGGGATAAAAATGTGTTCTGAATGGCAAATGGGATGCCTTTTAATATTTGATTGTGTCTTTGAATACATTGATATGTATAGATTGAAAATCTGTCTGCTGATTCAGTTATGTATTTAAATGATATACAACACTAACTCGTATGCATTGTTGTGGGCTATCATTGAAAATATGCCTATACACAATATGTATTGCACTATAATTATAACTTATTTACTCTCCCGGTGAACAAGTGTGGGTCATCTCAATCCTATATATATATATATATATATATATATATATTGATGTTTTATTTGGTACTTTGAGGGAGGTGTGTCAAACTTTTGATCAGAAAATGTTTGTTTGGATGTTTGATTTGGATAGATTGTCGAATAAATTGCAAAACAAAAGTGACTTAATGAGTGGGTTTTTGAATGATCATATTGTAGCAATCATACTATCTAATCTTAGCTTTAATTCCTTTGTATACCACTGGTTCTACACTCAGTATTTATACTAGACACAAGAGCATTAGCATATTTGTATGTAATAGTTTCTGATACGTTCAACAAAACATACAACCCGGGTTACATGAGACAAAACAAACAATTTGCATTTTAAATCCTTTAAAATTGCACATCTTTTTGTCATGAGGGGATGATGTGACTTTTTTTCTGAACACTACAAAGGTGCAGTTTTCATGTGAAACAGGAGATGGCAGGCTAGTAGTAGTTTTACTCAAGCAGTCTATGCTGACGTGGTCCTCTTTAGCATAATCTATGTATGCATTAGGGATAACAGGCCATCTGGGAAAACATCTGCTGTTGGGTCTATCGATAAATGCCATTTTAACTACAACAGTGATTTAACAGACTCAAAATCAAAATATGGTATTATTCTCAATTATGGAAACTCTGGCTTTTATATAAAAAAATTAAAATGACCGTGTACTAGGCCTTGTTTAAAATGATGAGTCTTTTTCCTTTTTGTTATATTAATCATATTGTCTAATTACAACACCGAGACTGGTTGATTTCTGAATGAAGAACTATTGACTCCACTGATTTCTGAAAGATGCTGATTAATAAAAAAAAGTGCCACTATCTCCAAAAGGCTTCAATCGTTGCTATAATGTAATCGATGCAGGCATTGCAGATGCAATAAGCAACAGATGTGTAAACAGTTACAGTATACTGTACTGTAGATTGCTCTCTGCTGTGTAGCCTCTTTTCCGCGTTTGACGTCACACAGCGTGGTGCTTTCAAATGCTCTTTGTAAATCAGTTTCAGTTAAATGCTTTGTTGTTTTCTAGTAAAAAATAAAGTGGAGTTGATATATTTTGTGATGCAATGGAGAACTAAGGATTATAATAATTACATGAATATATGCACATAAATAATAAAACGCATCTTTTTTTTATAAATCATCAGAATGTCATGAGGTTTAACGTTACCGTCCTGAAAACAGCTCAATCGTGACTTGAAAATAACATGAAAATCCGGACTTTTTCATACATGTAGTGCTCCTGTTTCTATCTGTCATATTTTCTTATACCGTTTCACTGCTAAATGAGTCCGCTTCGATGTGTCTATTTTTTGCCATGCTGCAAGACACATTTTCCACGCCGGACCAAACAAGCAAAGACAAAGAGAAAAGCCGGTTATTCGTACAGTACTTGAAGGCATCATAAGACCGGGCACCCATCACCACAGGCGCTGACTTCAACAGCTCCACTGAACTTAAACACTCTCGGAGAATGTGTGGAAGAGCAGCCGGGACAGCACACAGCATTTCTGGTGTATAACGGTACCCGGAGGGGGAAATTAAGTGACATTTTTTAGCTAAAGAGAGTGGTTAACAACATATATATACCACTTTTATTCCTCACCCCCAGAATGACAAGTAAAATGCAGGTAGTTTCGTACTTTTAACAACCTCGACATAGCTAACTTAGCTCAAAGCAATAATCAAACTAACGTTAGCTTAACGCTAGTTGCTAGTTAACGTTAGTTGGGATTTGGTTGTCCGCTATTGTTTGGTGATACAGTAACGTTACCGACGCATACGTTGTTGTCATTGCTAGCATTGACACTCATCAAAAAGCTCAAAGCGATTTTCCAAGCTATTTAACGTGGTTCACGTTAATACAGAAACGACGTTGGCTGACTTGGAATCAACAGGATTACGACCTGAACAGAAATAAACACTGGACTTTAACTTACCTCTATCAAGGTAAGTAATGGTTTGTTCACGAGGGACGTTGCATATATTAATATAAACTGTGACAGGTAAGTTAGTTTTCACTTCAGAAATGAATGTTCGTATTAAAACGTAGACTGGGTTATATAACGTTACTAACGCCAACTTTGTGCACATGGCTTGTTGGACCGGTGGGGCATTGACTTAATGTTGGAGTTAAGGAAAACATGAGGAAAACACCAGCTGTCTTAACAAAATAATGGCTGTCTGTTAGAGTTTCCCTGAACAATACAAAGCCCTAACAGCCTTGACAAGTTACTGTAAGCTGTGTTTCTGATGACTAACATCAGTATGTCATCAGGCGGAAATGTATAAATTATTTCCTGCTTGCAAAATGTTAAAGACAGTAGTAAGCATGACAGGTGGACGCACCTTTCATGGACTGTCCTTTGCCATGTCACTCAGACCTGGATTGATTGATATCAGTTATAATTTACTATATGACATGATTTCAAAATTATAAGGGAAGCTTCACAAATGACAGACAAGCGACACATACACATGAAGGCCTTCAGTATCCAGGATTGTTGTATTGTGGGGCTTATTGTTAGGTTGAGTCGTTAACAAAGTTAACATGTGGTTGATCATGTTTCTCTTACAGGAGCTGAATGGCCTCCGTTGTTGCAGTGAAAACTGAGAAGCGACCTGCAGCTGATTCTCAGGATGCAGACTCAAACGCTAAAAAGCCCAGGTATGTTCAGGTGCTGCTTAAAAACCAGCTGCACACTCTGTCCATGACTCATTCATCAATTCTGTCAACAGGGCTGATTAAAATCTTTGTTTATGATGTTTGTTTATTTTAATTTTTTTGCCAGCCCTAAGTAAAGGTAGGTTTAAGTTTCACACTGCATGTTTAGTGTGCTTGAAATGATTTGTTTAACCTTCATGCTGTTGGAAGGATTTGGGAAGCATCATATTTGAAACCATCATCACTCAATCTCTGCCTCCCCCCCAAAGGAAACTGCTGCCCAGCCTGAAGACCAAGCGAGCCCCCGAGCTTGTCCTGGTGATTGGCACAGGGGTAAGCTCTGCAGTGGCCCCTCAGGTCCCTGCGCTCCGCTCCTGGAAAGGCCTCATCCAGGCCTTGCTTGATGCAGCCAATGACTTTGACCTACTAGAGGAGGAGGAGAGTCGCCGTTTCCAGAAGCACATGCAGGAAGATAAGAATTTGGTTCATGTGGCCCATGACCTCATTCAGAAACTTTCCCCGGTAAGCCTGATCCTTTTTCCCTTGCCTTTCCTTTCTACACCACCCTGTTGCACATGTACAAACACATGGCAGACAGACTGCCAGCTCACTGTCCTTTCCTCAGCCAGGGACATTTTGTTTCAACGTTCATGGATTGGGATAAGACATATTTGCCTTATCTCATTAAAATACCGATAGCTGATGAGACAAGGCTTGTTCGTGGCACTCTTTCTTAGAAATTAATTTTGTCAAATACACACAAACTTATTAATCAGTTGATGTGGAATCAACCACATGCAGTAAGCTGAATGTGTTTGCTATTTTTTTGAATTTATTGGTGTTGAAGAATGCACCAGTGCTTTCTTTCTTTCTTCAGGGATCCTTGAAAAAAACACTCTTATGAAGGCAGGCAAGTGTGTAGGAAACATTAGTGTTTTTTTTTGTTTTTTTTTAACTCTCCTCAAAAAAAGGAGTACTGGGGATGTTCTGATCATGCACTAAACTACGATTATAGGGTAGTTTAGGTAATCTGGCTGCTGGTTCAGTTTCGGTTGTTTCAGTTTAATCAGCAAACAGCAGCCTGCATTGGAAGGAACTTCATAATACTAAGATTAGTAAAGCAGTAGCAATTTTTAAATGTTTATATTATTAAGCCTGGTGCTCACTTAGTTCTTGTCATTTGGTGTCTGTAATAACTTATGCATCAAAATTCAGATGAGTTTCCCAAAGAGAAATAAGAGAAAGTTCAACAAGCAGGACATTATATATAAGATTTCTTTTGTAAAACAAGAAACTGTAGCAATTTCAATTCATACCTCTGCAAATGACTTCTCTTATTTCATGTTCTTTATGTTTGTATAAACATTGTGTCTCCCTAACGTTACATCAACAGTAGACAAGAGTCTGTATGTGGTGGCAGAAAGGAAAGGAACAAAAAGTGTGAAAGACAGACTAACAGTTTAAAAAAAAAAGTTTGGGGAAACAAAATGAAAATAATGGAAAACTCACTGGTGCGGTTGGTGACTGAGGAAAAAGCGATTCCCCTTTGCAGGTCTAAACCAGTTGCATTATTACAAATTAATTGCAAAAAATGAAATGGATAAAAACTGTTTTAGATTTCCATTTAAATATATGTACATGTAAATATAAATCCATTTTCTTCCTTTTGGACCTATCTAGTCTGGAGCAGGGCTGGCAGATGGGAGCCTTAATACCGTTTGCCTCCTGTGTTAGTCATGTCTCATCGCACCTTTGACATTGATAAAACACGCTTTGTTTCAGCCCTCTGCCTGTTGTCACAAAGGGAACAAACAGCGCTTTTATGGCTTTATCCATCGTGTTTATTTCAATCCACAGTCGTGCAGACACCAGCCCACTGCCGTTGGCTGCAGACACAGCAGGCTCTAGCATGCTGAGGAAAAAAAAAACAAGCATAGAATAATGTGAATCAGCAACCACCCAGTCCAGATTTTCCATTCAGACAGGGTTAAAGCACCACCTAAACAGCATTACAGCGAGTTACTGTCGAGGAAATAAGTGTGTAGCAATTCCATTCACAAAACCAGTCTGTAAATATTTTCAGTGTTTCTGCAGTTTAGCACGTTAGAAGACCTGAGTTGATTCCCTCTGACCCAAGAGAAGGAATTTCTTCAAGTGTGAATCATAGTTTTCCCTAAGAAAACTGAAGCATATGAAGTTGTTCCAGTTAATTTCGGGGCTGTGAGAGTTTAACCCACTTTCCGTGGAATTGTGTATCAGCATGATTATGGTGGTCTGCAGGCACACAGCGTCAGGTAATGAGGGTAATCTGAAGTTGAAACTCAATGAGACTGTTTTTGTTGTAAATCCTCTCACACCTTTGACCGTGGCAAAACAAGGCTAATTACAACTTTGCTGACTAGTTTATTTGCTCAATTCAGGCTATGAGTATAAACAATGTTTTCCACAGGGTCAGTGGAAGAAGCATTTGATCATTGTTGATGGTCATTTTGGTGATAATCTGATATTTGTAAATGATGAAGCCCTCTACATACCTTGTTGCCAAAGAAAACCACCACCAACCAAAGCTGCCCGTGATTCTTTGTGTCACTGTATTATAGGAATTCTCTAGTAGAAACCAAACTGTGAAAGGTCTTCATCTGTTTATTCTGCTACGTATTTCTATTTTTGAACTGTATGCATGTCCGCAGAAGCCCTACGGTGTCCTGAGCTAACATAAAAGTTTGAACAAAATATATTTATGAAAAATAATCTATTACTTTAGAATGAATACCGGTATTTAGAGTTGTTTACTTGCACATCATTTGGTTATTACATAAGTCCTGAGACAGTCCAAGGACACAGTGATCAGGGTTGGTGCTGTAGACACTGGATGTGGATAATGAGCTTCTTCCTGTAAAAAGGACTCCCGCTGCTTAGCCCATTAGAGCTGTAATCTCTTGAAGGCGGCGGAGCATTTTCCTGTGCTAGTATCACCTTGGTCACTGCATCTCTGTACTACTCTTTGCTATTCTTAGCTGCCCGGCTCTTCCTGCTTCTCTTTTTTTAATTTTTATTTTACAACAGGCTCTGCCAGGTAAGGGTGAGATTAAGTGAGATGTGTATTCACAGCCCATAATCTCTTAGCAGACTCAGATTGAATGTGAGTTGCTAGGGTGATAGTGATACAGAACAAAGTTGCAGTTGAGGAGATATTTTGAAAACTGGTGCACACTTGACACACCCCTGAAGTCTCACTTGAGAGTAAGTTGGAGCACTTAGGATGCCAGTCCTGCGAAGAGCAGTGCCAAGGGGAAGTCTCGCTGAAAGCATGTGTAACCAAAGTAAATAAAAACACTTTCTGTCATGTCTAAGGCCTGGAGGACATTACTATGTGTGTAGTTAGCAATCAGATTTGGGTCTAAGCTCCTGGTTAAGCATCGTAAGTATGCATAGGCGCACATCACTTATGCTTCTCTAAATAAGAAGGCCAATTGGGTTATATAACTATGCATACTCTAGTATTATGACATTAACAAAAAGAAAAACATAAATTGTACCAACTTTTGTGGTTCTAAGGAGAAATTACACCACACTGTTGCTCTAATTCATAATTTTCTCCAGTGTTGGTGGTAGCAGTTATTCTGTGGTTCTAATTATTTCCCCCTAAGTTATTTTATGGATCAGTCTTTAGTCGGAACATACAGCATTATTAGTTTGGAAACTGTAAATTGTTATTCTATTATAAAAGGGTTACAATTTTGTTTTGTTTTACTACAATTCGACCATACTTATGTTGAATAAAGCAGATTTATTTACATGAATTGTACTTCCTCTTGGCACACTAGATACTCAGTACTCCCTCTTTTTTTGCTGCACTTCCCTTTCCAGCTGTTATACTGCATTCAGGACTGTTTAAAGGTACTTTGCTGACTATTGATCATCAAGTATGAGTAGGTAGACAGTCCATATGGCATTCTGTCCCAAGGGAATAATGCACAGTATGAAGTCTTCTTGTCATTGTATTTGCATGTGAAAAAGTACTGTGAAACTATTTTTTTGTCAAGGTATACCCAAATCGTATCCCTGTACATTCAGTGTACTTTTGTTAAGTTATTTTGATGTTTAAATGTACATAAAGAACTAAGATTGTGCAGTACCTCTTTTAATTTAATTTTAATTAAATTTTTTTTATATAGAGAACAGGCAATGTGCGATCCACATTCTTCAAGGACTGTCTGTACGAGGTGTTTGACGACTTGGAGTGCAAGATGGAGCATGCAGGGAAACATCTACTACGCTCAGTGCTGCAGTTAATGGAGAGTGGGGCACTGGTCCTCACTACTAACTTTGACAACCTGTTGGAGATCTATGCAGCTCACCAAGGCACCAAGCTGGAGTCTTTGGACCTGACAGATGAGAAGAAGGTAAACAGTGCATGGATTATGTTATGGCATTGATTGATCTTTCCTGCCACGACACATCCAGTCAGCTTTTTCAAATGAGTGCAAAGGTCACTGAAGCATGCACCGAAGTACTAAAAGTACTTTATGTTAGGACAGACTCAGTCTGTTGTGTTGAGTTTTAAAACTCTGTTGTTCACAGGTAAAACAGCCTGAATAGTATCTTGTCCTCTGAGCGTTTGGGTGAAATGACTCACTGCACTGTCAGAGTTACACTTAAGACATTGTCTTTGAGTGAAGTTCCTCGTTGGCTGGTTTCGGGAGTAAAATTGATTATGCTTTGTCCTGAAAGAGCCTTTTGTCTCTTGACAGGTGGGGGAAGGTTAAAGTTCCAGCCATTACTCAGCTGCTGTCAATTTTTATAGATTGAACAATATTTGCTTTTGGCTTAAGACTTCACTGAAGGGGAAGTGTGTGTGTTTTCCCACTAAAAATAAAAAGAAGTTTGTTTTACTTCTGTCTTGTTTCTCCAAGGAATCTCAATCAGGTCATTTTAGTCCCAGTTGATTTAAAGCTAGTTTGATTATTTGTTAAATGGAAAACAAATTTGCAAGAATTGGTGAGAGTTTTCTGAGAGACCTGTCGCTTTGCCTCTCAGTCCTGGTATTTATGCCTTGTCTCCATCAGGGCTAATATCCTCTAACTGCTGTTCAGTGATTTTACTCCCTGCCCAGCCAGAACAGGATTGAGTGCAATGGACTGTTAAGTGTGTGGTTGTGTGTGTGTGTGTGTGTGTGTCTAGGTGTTGGAGTGGGCTCAGGAGAAACGGAGGTTAAGTGTTCTGCATATCCACGGTGTTTACACCAACCCCAGTGGTATTGTACTGCACCCTGCTGGCTACCAGAATGTACTGAGGAACACTGAGGTTATGGTGAGTAATTGTTGGTTATGTTTCTGATTAAGGACTTTATTCTGCTCAAGATTCTCCTCTAAATGCCTGAAGTGTAAATAATATAGCATGTTATGGTACTATATTATGGTACAGTACAGGTTTCAGTACAAAATTGCCTCTGTCCCTGCACTTTGATGCATTTGAAATGGTAGCTTTTGTGTTGTATGTGTAATAATATACTGCTGGTTTCAACAGCGTGAGATCCAGAAGCTGTACGAGACCAAATCATTTGTGTTTCTCGGCTGTGGGCGCACGGTAGACGACACAACCTTCCAGGCTCTTTTCTTGGAGGCAGTCAAACACAAGTCAGACCTGGAACACTTCATGCTTGTGCGGCGGGAGGACGTGGGTGAGTTCAAGAAGCTGCGCGACAACATGCTGGACAAGGGCATTAAGGTCATCTCCTATGGAGACGAGTATGCCGACCTGCCTGAGTACTTCGAGAGGCTGGCCAATGAGATCTGCAACCGCGACGTGTCTACCAACGACTGGGGTAAGGTGGATGAAAGTCAGGCACGGTTCATTTGTGTGCCTATTTGTAGAGGATGTATTCTGCATGTGAGCTCAATGGAAGTCTTTCAACAAACCGTGCTGTCAATTTGTAGTGAGGTCAATGTGTGTTACGGGGCACTCTGTCAATTATTCAATGCTTGGTTACTGCTGCTGTCAACACAGCAGGTTCTGCTGCATTCTCCAGTTCAAAATAGTTTGATGTTATTTACCAATACTTAGACCAATAGTACTGGTACTAAGACACCAAGTTAAACAGTGTGCAGTGCATTTACTATAATGTTAACTTGTGTTTGATAAATGAAGCTAAAGGATCTGTTTTCTTCTTGTATATATCACTGTGTTCATCTTATACTCTTGGTTCTCTTTGGTTTTTATTAAAAACTATTAATAAATAGCATGTGACATTTTAGTGTATTTCACAAAGGGAACTAAGAAAAGCAGCCTGGAGGATATATCATAACACGGGCTGAACTAGAGTTTAAGCATTAACACTAGCCTGGAAGCAGAGGCTAAGTTCACCTGCCATGGTGCAGATTTGATTTAGGCCATACATTGTTATCAGTACTCTTAAGTTTTCTGTCAGCGTCTCTCTTGAAAAAGAAAATTGGAATTGTTCTTCGGAATATGAGTTGGCTGCATTTCTAATTGTCTTTTTTTTATCGTTACCTACAGGACCTCCCTCACCAAATGGGGAGGAACAGCAGAACGGCTTTAACACACAGAAAAGCCTCCTTCAAGGTTAGGACTGAATGCTCTCTCTCTTTGACTTCAGGCAGTGGCCACTTGCAAGAGACATTTCCAGAATAATACAATAAAGCACTGTCCAGGACTCTTTGTTTTCTTACTGCATGCTGGTAGATAGAAAACTCAAGTCAGTTCTTGATTTTCAGTATCAAAAAGACCTGCTGGTATTCCTTTACACAAAGATACAACTGACTTTGCAGTATTGCATGCATGACAGTCAGTGGCAACATTTCAGTTGATGCTCTTTGTTTCTCAACCGTTCATTTAAGTCCCTTCCTTCTCTTTTTACCCCAGACTATCATTCTTGACAGGCACACAGTCGGGATCAGTATCAGTCATTTTTCCTCCACAGCTCCGTCGAGAGATCAGTCTACTTTTGAGTAGTACTCAAATCTGATTTTTGAATCAATGAATTTAGGAATCCAGGAACACTATGGGCAACGGGAAAAGCTGTTGTCAGTATTTTACAGGTGTCCATTATTTTCCTTTATTTTTTCTAGTTTAAAAGGGAAGGGAGACATTTTAAGTAACTGTCAACACCAATACCCAACCTCACAGTCCCACCGTACTGTGTTGCAATGCTGCTCAACATTTGGCAAGTTACAGTAGAAAAAAAGTGTTACACAGAAGACCAAATGGTATGTTCTCACTTCAACATGACAAATGATAGATCTGAATCCGCTGGCAGAAGCTGACTGTGCTGCATTGATTCACTGTTTGGATTTGGACTTTAATCAGCTTGACCCACCTGTCCTGTAAGAGAAGCTCTGGGTGCAAGCTATAACGCACATCACTTAAGGATTGTATCCATCACGCCGAACCGTGAAACCAGGAAAACTTGATTTGCACACTACTGGGTGGGGAATGGGGATAATTCTCTCTGACATTAGATGTTACTTGGTTTGCAAACACATTATGATTCTGTCCTCAGAAGTTCAGAAGATGTTTTCATAGCAGAGAGGCTCCCAGCTGGTAGCAATCACTTTGCCACTCCTGTGCTGTAAATGTTCTTTGTAAGCCTTTTTTGTATTTTTAAAACTTGCATGTGTTTTCTGACATAGTATTTATAAGTACTATTTTCAAAATAAAGCTTTTGGTATCCCATTTGTCCTGTCATTTTTGTATGTCTCATAATGTACATACTGGAACTACAACATATGACAGAACGAGTTCCAGGCTGTCATTGCATATAGCAGCTTTATTTAGAAATGTTTACATCATAAATTAGCTCAAATCTTATGTATAACTCTTGATTCTCTCATATTGCACTACCACAAATTAAAGGGGGCTAGAGATACTTAAGACTTATATTTCTTCTTACAAATGAAGAGAAAATCAGAGGGGAAAACATAAATAAAAAGGGCCGAAGAACTTCACCTGACCACACAGAAGGTGCAGTCTGAAAATCTACAGGCAACCTGTAAGAACCAAACAAATTAATTTAAAAAATATCTTTCCATTTTTCATCAACTATAAACTCAGGAATCAAAGTCTCCATTTTGTAATGAAAATGTGTTAACTGTGTGTGTGTTAGGTAGGCAAGGAGCTCTTGGAGATGACTTTGAACAATCCAACCAGAAATAGCGTACCATAGTTGTTTGGGAGATGTTGATGAACTGCCCCATTTAACAAAAGAGCCAATCTTGATTAAGCCTCATCTTCACTACTACATGATTTCTTTCTCCATTTTTGACAGGGGAGTAACATCTTTTAACTCCATACGTGCTGATATCCATGCCAACTTAATGAACAATTAGAAATAACAGATTCAGACTGCTTCTCAACACTGGTGGGACCCTGACCCGAACTGCCATGGTTCTCTTGATAGATAACCACCCAGGTAGTGAAAGTGTTAACTAAGAAACCAGGAGACGATAGGCACTATGGTCACTAAGCTTTCCTCAGGCACAGGCAGCTGCTGAAATGTCAAATTCAGCAAGCCTTCACGACCTGGCCTCATTTACATGAAGAGGGGAAAACTGACTGACAAAATGCCAGGTAGGGGGATTATTTTTTTTTTTGTCTTTACTGTGTAAACCAGTAAACTGATGACATTTACAGCCTAGGTCCATTTAGTCTGCTAAAATGTCATTTGGATGTGACTGCATTGTTTCAAAACTCTGATCTGAGGTACTTTTTAAATGTAGGCCCAAAGATTTAGAACTGATGCAAAGGGAGGCCCCTCTGGCTTTGTTGCAAAATGTTCTGTCACACTTGTCCTTTACTGGGAGAATGAATTCCTGTGCATGACATGAGTTCTTCATTTAACGCAAAGTACAGAGGGCAGGACAGGAGGATGAGATACACAAAGGTAGCAGGGCTGGAACATCTCACGGCAGCGTGGCAAAGGTATTGTTGGCTTCATTGCGACGATGAATAGACAGCAGAACATGCAGCCAGTTAAGCCTTCATCAGGGCACTGACCACGGCGCGGGCGTTGAGGCTTCGCAGGTCGTTGTAGGTCTGCCCTGTGCCCACAAACACAATAGGCTGGCCAGTGATGTAAGTCATGGAGATGGCAGCACCGACCTGTGAGAGAAGGAAGGATTGATGCTATCAATTTTGATCCGTAAGTCATTAAAAGAGCCACAGACAAATCATTAATTACAATTAAATGATCAATTAGAGGCCACGGAACATGATTTAAGCTAGATAGAAACATCATCAAAACATTAAAATACCTTGTCATCTATAGTGTCAAACTTAGTGAGAACAATTCCATCAATGAGGCGAGGCCTGTCAGACATGGAGTGGTCTGCCAGAGCCTGGTTGAACTTTACCTAAAGGACACAAGGAAAGGAAAGCTGAGTCATTCCTGTGGAAACCGATGACAACCGAGTTAATATGTATAGCACCGTCTTTCCATCTCATTATTTACAGGGCTGAGGAGAAAACACACAAACACACATCTGTACAATTATGATGACTATTCAACGAGACAGCAGATCACCGGAGCAATACTGACCCCTGCTGGAGAGTTAAAGAATAACAAATCAATTTTATTCCAGGGTATTTTCTGACTTAGTCCTTACTGTTAATGAAGGGTGATCTGAACTCTGGCCTGTGCATTAATCTCAATCTAACATAAAGACAGAGGGCAATGCACATGCTGCTTTCCAGGTCAATAAAGCTTAAAGGTCCAGTTTCTAACATTTAGGAGGATCTATTCTATTGGCTGAAATAGAACATGTATGTTTTCATTAAGTCTATAATCACCTTGAAATAAGAAGCATTATTCTTTTTTCCCCTCTTTTATATCTACACATGCCATGGGTTGCCTGCTATGGAGGCCGCCATGTTGAACCATGTTTCTACAGTAGCCCAAAATTGACAAACCAAGCACTGGCTCTGGATATGGCCATTGACATTTTTCGTGGACAACTTACGTTTTTCCTTCACACTTGGAATGGGAGGGTGGAGTGAAGGACACCACCACTGGTCTTTTAAGCTCCAAAACCATAAATCCCTGCCTCAGTCACTACCAAGTTCTAGCAGCTGATCACATCATTACATATAATGGAATGACGCCAATGTTTCATCTGAATTAAGGGTAAGGATTAGGATATGAACATACATTTTAACAATGAGTTCCTCAGTGTGAGTGGTCAGTTACATTTCTTCGTGCATGGTGTATCTGAGCGAAAAGTGTGAATTTATCAGTGGTCTTACCAGCTGGTCAACAGCCTCATTGCCCACCAGAGCTTCTCCAACAAACAGCACTAAGTCGGGCATGTTGACCGCAATAAGTTTGGCCAGGGCTGTCATTAGGGGGGCGTTGTCCTGCATACGCCCAGCAGTGTCCACCAGCACCACATCAAAGACCTGGTTGCGGGCTGAAGGGACGAGACACAGAAGGTGTACATATGACTTTACCATACATGTGATATTAGTCGTATATGGAAACCTTATCTCCACCCCTACACCTCTTCTTTACAAATGAGGTACAGTACACACAAGAATCAACAATGAACCACAGATTTACATTGTCCTAGTAATCTAACTTCACGCTCTCTACAAATTCTATTAGTTAATAGTTACTCAACATACCATAGGCAATGGCCTCCATGGCAATTCCAGCAGCATCCTTCCCGTAGCCCTTCTCATAGAGCTGGACTACCGGCCGTCCTCCATGCTGCTCTGGAGGATGCAGCGAGTTCAGGCGGCGCTGATGTGTGCGGAGCTGCTCCACTGCCCCGGCACGAAACGTGTCACAGGCTGCGATCAGCACAGTGAAACCATTCTCTATCAGCCAGAAGGAGATCTGAAACAAGGCAGAGAGAAGTTTTAGAAGGTTGCCCTTCAATATTAATTTTGTCTGTGTGGCTCTACCCTGACATCAGCTCAGACATTTGACAACTAGGCCTTGATAAAAAAAAAATTTAAGTTGATCAATTAAACACTATAATAGTATATTATGGGTTATCTACTGTGTTTACACTGATTATATTAAGTATTTCTGCCATTTAATTGGAATTTTGTAACCCTTTGTCAAGACACAAACCAGACAGGGTGTAACATTTCAGTACTTTGGGCTGGGTAATCGTAAGCTGTTTTTTTAGCTAAATTTAGGTCAAGTGCTGATGTAAAGGACCACTGGTTTAGCTATATAGGCTTAATTGTCAAATAAAGAAGTTTAAAATATGTGCTTACTCAATAATTTAAATGTAATTTGAAGTATACTCTAAATGCCTTCACCGTAGACATTTTAAACACAGAGAACCCCAGTGTGAATTCCCATGACCACAAACTCAAAAAAAAGGGCCCAAACCCACACAGTAAAGCCGCATGGGTAAACTTGCTGGCGTGGGAAATTTACCAAAATCGTAAATTTGGGGTACATGTCATCACCCATTTAAAAAGAGACAACTCACTTTGGCCAGGTTGGTGGACTTTCCAACTCCATTGACACCACAAAAAGTAATGACAAAAGGCCTTCGCTGGCTCTGCGCCTCCATGACGTCTCTCAGAATATCCACCCTTCTCTTGGGCTGCAGGATCTGCACCAGTGAGTCTTGCAGGGCCAGCTTTACTGTTGAGGCCACAGCTACAAACACACACACACAAAGTTGTTTTAGGATTATTCTACTATACTGCTATTAACTGACACAAAATATTCTTATATACAATGTTATATAGTTATTATAATATGCCTTTGGACTAGTGTGAGAGTGCGAGGAAAAGGGTCATCCCATTGGCTCGTTCTATCTCAGATTTGTATCATTAATATATAATAATAAACAAAACAATATTTAGTTCACAACACTGCCATACACCTGCTAAGACAATGTTATGCTATGTATATTTTCAAAACAATAAAGTTTATACCTCAATATTAAAAAAATGATAATGAAAGTACATTTCAAGGTGCTGCTTGTGATTATGAAAATCATGAGCTGACGTTGAGAATATTGATGTTATTTATATGCGTGGCAAACTGTAAACAGATGACAAGTTGCAACAAGCCAGTTCAATAAAACACTTATCCCCTTTGTTGGATGTTTCTAAGTGCTTGTACAAAACTGTGTCGGATTGCTTGGATCCTGTGTGTAAAAACTGAGAGGAAGATCCTACAGTAATCAATTTACTGCGGTAATAATACAGACAATCTTGGGGAATGCTACTGCAATGACATTACTTTTCCCAGCATGTAAACGTGTGCTCTCAGAGAAGGAGAAGTAAATGGAGAGAAGATGCACGTTGTAACTAATCCTTACACCAATGGAAAATAATTTGTTGTCTGTGTGTTAAATAGCTGTGAAAGTTTACTTACTGGTGAATGTGCCCATGACTTTGCCTTCCAGTTTTTTGGCAACAGAGTCACAGAGCTGGGAGGCAATTTCGGCTGCTACATTCTTTGCTGTAGGATCATAGAGGAGCAGAGAGTGAATGGCAGACAGTGCACTTTTAAATGTTGCAGAAAATCAAGTAGGAGAGTAAGAAGGAGACACGATGACATACCGATGAGGTGGTCCCTCATCTTATCCAGTACTGACTCCATGTCCTCCCGGGTCAGGCTCTTGGACCCCACCAGGCCCTTCAGCATCCCAAACATGCCCCCAAAACTGCCACCCTTTTTGGAGCTGAACTCAACAAACAAAGGTGGGAAATTGTTCACGATGCACAGTAAAGAAATAGCAGAAATATATAATAATATCCCCTTTAAACCATCCTCCAAACATTAAACAAACACTTGCTTACATTGTCTTGGTTGTTTCATTGACAACCACCCTCTCCTCTTCCTCTTCCTCTTCCTCCTCCATCTCCAGCTCCTCTTCCTTACTGGACTCATAGTCCACATACAGCAGGTCACCCTTCATGGAGCTTAGCTGCATCCCCTGAAACACATCCAGGACGTTGAGAACTTGGCAACAGACCCTTTCTTTTAAACATTATTACTGTGACTATCACCGATGTCTCTTTATTAGAAAAGAAGAAGAAGGAATGGCGGAGTGCAGGGGGTACATACCAGGTCAATTTGTCCTTCTGGATTCTGTTCGCCACCATTGGGGGAACCATCTCCATTCCTTCCACTGTAGTCCAGTTTCTCGGACCTGCTACCACCCATGTCCCAAACACGCTTTTGTTTCTCCTTAGGCTTCTGAGGCTTCGGGGACTTACTGTGAGTCGGATGACAGAATATCGGAATTAAGCAATTAGGCATACGTTAAACTAGGAGACAAAACCTCTTAGCTTTCCAAAATAAAGTATGTCTGTAAGAAACATGTATAACTATTAGAACCATGGTTTTGACTGTGATTAGGACAATCAAACCAATCTAACCTGCATTCATTCTCAACACATCAGATCATGTCTTTAATGTTGTTTAAACTTAGGCAATACATTCATGAGTGTATTTTCTCCTACCTGGGTTTTTCAGTAGGTCTCACCAGGCGCTTGCGAACGAATTCCTCTATATTCTTCTGCACAATCTCGTCAGCAGTCAAGCCCTGGTTACCATTCTCAACCATCTTCTGCCCAGAGGATGAGGTCTTGCCTTGATCTGCTTTGACAGGCTCAGCTGCAGGAGCTGGAAAAGACAGGAATATAAAATCAAATCAGGGTTGAAATTACGTTACACTAGCAATTTAGAATGAAATATTTTAGAACCACTACCACCAGCAACAGCACTCACCCTCCTTTTTGGTATTTTTATTCTTCTTGCCACTCCGTTCCTTGGTTTTGTCCCCACCCTTTGTTTCGATCATCGACTTCACAGTTTTTTGGGATTTCTCAGACTCTTTAAAGGTCCGCATGTGGCCGGGGCTTTTAGCTTTGCTGCTGTCCTCCGCCTCCCTTGTGGTAAACATTTGATATACATCAGCATGTGCAGGGCAGATGAGGTTGGTTGATGATACATCTATAAATGTGGCTGAAATACTCTTTTGACACTCACAGCTTTTTTTTAATATGGAATACACATTATGACACCAGTTGTGCTGCTCTTCATTATAACAGTTCACCTCCATAAGTCAGACTGGCTGTGTTTACCTAAGAAGCATCTTGAAGTCATCCTCGAATTCATAGTTGTTGTTGAGCAGCTTCAGAGCGCCCTTTTGCTCCAGCTCATTCTTATAACGATCCCTAAAATGGAGCTGAACGTCATCTATGAACTTGTCCACATACGTCAGCGTCAGGATCTTTTGAAAACCCACCTAGACACAGACAGAGATAGGGACACAGACAGGGACACAGACAGAGACACAGACACAGATAGAGACAGGGACACAGACAGAGACAGGGACAAGAGATGATGTGATCTTCAACATGAGTTGACATTATGTGAGTAGAAGATGTGCAGTGTCCACCTGGGTGACACTTTGATTGTGATGGATTTAGTGTGCAGTTGAGGGACTTACCACATAAATCAACTCAAACTCATTGTCGAGTTTGTATTTAAGACTCAGGGCCTCGTGAGTGTATGAATTGTTCCCACTTCGCTCCTGTAACGTCACAAACAGCGTTGACATGTCAACAAGAGCTAAAGGCACGTTGCTTCTAAAGCTAGCCTCCTGTGTGTCCCTAACAACGTTAAAGAAGTCACATTAAATTCAAAGTCAGCTTACCATTAGTAATTAGGTGCATTTTTTTTGGGCTATTCATACCTCAAAAGTCGCTTGTGTAGTATGTGTAGTACACTAACGTTACGCAATGAGCTAACGTTTGCTAGCGTTAGCATTAGCAGTCCAAACCATACCGAGAATTAGACAAACACAGGTGTCACAGGGGGTTTTGGACTCGTCATAATGTCCTGACCTGAAGGATCACGGAGCGGATCAAAGCGTTGACAGGCCCAGTGAAGGATTCAGTGACGCCGGCTCCCTGAAAACACCACAACACTATCCCCCCTTTGCTGAAGATGGTGAAGAAATCTAGCATCTTGCCACCAGGAATCTAGACTTCAAGAGAACACACACGGAGAAAAGTGAGATCAATGAATGGCCGTGTGAACCTTTACAGTACTAGTGTCCACTCTTCAAGCTATCAAATCTTACCAGATAATACTTCAATAGATAATAAATCCCCCACCGAGAAAAAAAAATCCACCACCAGTGTGAAACTGTTTTCGACACGTCAGATGCAGAAGCGGAAGATGACGCGCTCTTCCGGGGATTTTTTTTTTTCTTCTTTTTTTTCCGCGCATGCGCAACCAGATTTTACACTTTAGCCTTATTTATAGCCTTCCTCTATATTTCAGAGGGAAATGTTGGCCTACCTTCTGTCCACTACATTTATCTGACAACTGAGGCAGTTACTTTACAAATGTAGTTCGAACATATATATTCAATTAATACATTCACATTTAATCCATAGATGAAACTACATAACAAGTGCAGGCCTAGATTCAAATAAAATAGAGGGCATCAACAATAATGATCCACAGTTAGGCTTTGCACTTTCTTTGTAGACAGGGGCCATTTTATTTGTAATTTTTGTGAAAATTAAAGCATAATTCTATTACTGTTTGCTTCACCAACCAGTTAACTAGCAATAAAGCCATTCCATGAAATTACATGTACTTCCCCTAATATAAAAATACTTCCGTAGCTTTAATTTAGCTTGTTACTCTACTGGGCTGGGCAAGGATTACACTTTTCAATTTTCAGAGGGGAGCTGCAAATGCATAGATCACTATACAACATTATTTTCTAGAATTGTAGCTACAAATTAGGTTTATCCCATCTTACACATATTTATACAGACAGGAAACTTTCAGCTTTACATATGATTTGTACTTGCATATGTCTTATGTTTGTATGACAGGATTTGTAAGCTTTTCTACACAACAGAAATAAATAACTTGGTCAAGATAATGAAAAGAGTCACAGCACATAATAATTAAATACATAAAATAGGCCATTTGTATAAAAAACACAATAAATGGCAGCAGTCTCATTGGTTGGCTTAGAAATGTAAAGCTTCTGGCACATCAGTGGTTGTGCTGAGCTACATTGAATTTAATATACCTGTCCACACAAATGCTTTAAACAAAGGGTCATCTAACTGCTCAGTCAAGTATACAACTTGAAAGGCTTTGCATTATAAATTTGACTGCACATGTTGAGGCGTCACTTTCAACAGTTCCTCTCAACTTCCTCTTTTTTCTGCTGATGTCAATCACACTCGACAAACTTTTCACATTGTCTCTGCAACATTCGGTTACTGCCAGTGGATTATGTTACATTGCTGCAACAGTTGTTTGTTCAGCTACAGTGTCGGAGTAATGTAGACTATGTATCGGGGAGAAAAAAGCCTTTATTTACTGGAAGGATTTTGGCATGGTATTGAACAAATATGATGATACTAACAACATGCATGGTGAGTTAAGGATTCAGTCATCTTTATTTCTAATACAAACTTTCTTCATTGACTAATGTATAATTCCACACTCTTTTTCTCTTGTCAGAAAATCATTACACTTTTGTGGAATATCTGTAAATTGTTGTGATTGTGCTCTCTCTATATATATTCATGCTTAGCTTTATGACAGAAATGTGCAAAATTTGTCTTTCTTTAAGGTTGGTTCCAGAAACTATTGAAATCAAGAGTGTCTTCATCAGCACAACATGAACAAGAGGCAAAGGTGACAAAAAAGTCAGCGTCTTCAGTCAATAGTGTATCAGCTTCACCTTCATCTGCACCGTCATTCTGTTCTTTCTCACCATCATCACCAGGGACAACCCCTTCTAAACCAGTACAGTCCCAGTCTGCTCTGAGCTCACTGCAGCGATGGAGCCGAAAGTATGACGTGTTTGTGTGCCACAGCTCTGTGGGCGGTGACATTGAAGAGGCTGGACGCCTGGTCTCTTTCCTCGAGGCCTCACCCCGTAGCCTTAGGTGCTTTCTCCGACACAGGGACGACTGTCCAGGAGGTGCAATTTCCACAGAGCTATGCCAGGCTGTGCAGAGCAGCCACTTATGGGCTTTGTTTATCACACCAAATTTTCTGCAGGATGACTGGTGTATATATATGATGCACCAGGCTCTGGCAGAGGGGCCTATGTCCAGTCGGATTATTCCCATGATTCAGAACCTGCCCCGCTCTCAGTATCCTCAGGAACTGAAGTTCTACTTCTACATAGACCTGAGCCGTAACCCTGACCAAGGTTATACTCTCCTTAACAGGACTGTGCTCAAGTGTGAGTGATGTGATCTTTTTTGAGACTGCTCTTATTACCAAGTTTAAAATGATATCTGTTTTCAACTAACAGTTCAAATGATTCCACAGTTTTTGGAGGGCAAGACAACAATAATAATCTCCTCTTGTTTTTTTGTTTTTTTTCTCTAGACCTGGAAGACCTGGTTAAAAATGAAAAGACACTTGATTGCAGCATGGACAGCTCTAGCAATAGATTAACTGAAGAAGACAGCTCAAAAAAGACATGATGTGAAAGTGTGACCCGGCTGCGACTTCAATCCCACTGGAAGTGATAAAGAAGAAAGAAGGAAGCTTGAATGACGATTGCTGATCATCATCAAGAGCAATTAAAGACTGTGAGGAAGTACTCTGAATGGCAAACACTGGATGCTGCTACTGACCAACCTCCACTTTGGTAAATGCCGCCACACAGTTAATGTTAATAATCTGGTTCCTGTCAGCCTTGCTGCCTCACCTCATGGGTAAAGGCTCTGTCCACTGGCTGTTTTACCTCCACCCTTAAGCACACAGTAATGCTTCTCAAGAAACAAAGCCTTAACCCTCTGAATTTAAAAAATGTTAGACCCTTTTCTAAATGACCAGTTTTATTGTAAGTTGAAGGTTGTTTACATAGAAGATGATTTATTCCTGCCCCCAAAAATCTATAAAATCTATACCTTTGATACATTTCTATCATGCTTCCATTCATGTCATATCACCGAAACTGCTGTAACAATCTGACGCTGGTGATTGTTCACTTTTAATTTGTCTCAATCTCAGCTCATCCTGTGACACATTTGATTATTTTATTCTCTAGACAGGTTCAATTCTTATTTATCAAACGTTTTAATAGTGGGCGTTCAAGCTTACTCTTCTGTGGCCCATCTGATCTCGTCAAGGCTCCATCCTTGGCCCCTGTTTCCACTGGGACATGTTCCATTAAAACCAATGAATGAGGCAATTATTGTCTTGTCTGTCAGAAATATGCTGAATGACCCAAAACCAGTATCCAACTGGTAACGTGATAACTGAAGTCATTCACAAAATACAAAAGTCGTTAAATCATGTTTAACATCAACTGAGGAGACTCAACTGTCTTTTCTTGTCCTGATCTTGAAAAGGTCATACATTCTTTTTCAGCTCAGTTAGATTATTGCAAAATATATTACATATTCAGGGTTAAGATGCTCTGCTTTTAATATATACAATAATAATAATAATAATAATAATATACACTACTAGAAGAGAAGATCATATAACTCTGTCATTGTTTTAGCCTGTGGTTACCTGTATGTTTCAGTATCTGTGAAGATTTACTGATTACCTTTAAAGCACTCTATGGTTTTGCTTCCACTTATATTGCTGAACTTGACTCCTCTATAAGTCAGAGCACAGCCCCAGATCCTCAGGCTGTCCTGGCTCAAGACTAAAGGAGAACAGGTTTTTACAGTCAGGTCCTCTCAGCTCTGGAACTCCTTGTCTGAAGATCTGAGGCTGCATCTTTTAAATCAGCTTTTTGAAAAAGGGTTTTATTAATGCTTCCACGCTGTTTTATTTCCAACAGGTCTTATTTATTTTATAATAACTATTACCAATTTTATTTTATATTATTGTTAGGTATATTATTTTTGTATAGACTGACTTTATCTGCCTAATTGGAGTCCTAAATGTTTATATTTTAATCCTGGTTTACATAACTTTGTTTTGAATAAATAAAGTATATCATTATCATTATCATTATTATTAATAGTTCATCACATCATGTCAAGATTTCAACTAAAGTTAAACTACAGTGTTGTTACTTACACTCGGCCACACCTGGTGTTGTGTGTGTGTGTGTGTGTGTGTGTGTGTGTGTGTGTGTGTGTGTGTGTGTGTGTGTGTGTGTGTGTGTGTGTGTGTGTGTGTGTGTGTGTGTGTGTGTGTGTGTGTGTGGTTAAGGACATTAATAGTGTGAACAGGAAACATTTGATGTGAAGCAGCACAGGGACTTATTTCCTGTGTCAGTATTTTGCAATAGCTTATATTTATGAGCACATTTTGTGGGGATATGTATTTATAGTCTCATGTCGTTACACACAATTCAGTTAATTAAGCTTGAAACGCACTAAAGCATCATAAATGCATGTGATCTGCCTTTTAACAGAGTAAGAAATTACTTTAATAATATACTTTAATAGAATGAATACATTGTGACACAGATATTGTTTACCACTAGGTGGTGTACTCTATCCCTTCTTTGCAGTAGAGAGTGGTAGTAAAGAGATTCCACTCATGAGGATTTTATCATAGAACAACACTTATTACAATAGCCTCTCTTGAATGTGTGTGTGTGTGTGTGTGTGTGTGTGTGTGTGTGTGATAAATGGACCTGTATTTGTATAGCACCTTTCTAGTCTTCCGACCACTCAAAGCACTTTTACACTACGTGCTATCGAACAGAAACTAACAGTCATACACATTCACACACCGATGCACGGCAACAGGAGCAATTTGGGGTTCAGTATCTTGCTCAAGGATACTTGATACTTGATACTTTGACATGTGGCACCAGGAGCCGGGGATTGAACCCACAACCTTCCAATTAAGGAACGACCCGCTCTGCCCCTGAGGTGTTTGTGTGTGTGTGTGTGTGTGTGTGTGAGTAGAGAGAGAGTGAAATTGCTCTTAACAGACAGTGGCATGACCTTTTAGCGGAACCACACTTTAAGTAATAAAAAGGGAAGTGTAATTCATATTGAAAAAAGAAACTAACTTTATTTTTTACTTTATGTAAAACACAGCAAGAGATCAGACTGATGGTTCCTGTCTGCTGGTATTAATATTCTAAATCACAATATTTCTGACTAAGTGGTTTTAGCTCAGCTCGTTGGAACAAAGTCTGAACACGTTGAAGTGTTGGAAGGAACATCCTCCAAAGAAAGACTTTCAGTTCTCTGTTAGGTATGACTGAAGGGCCCTGGCAGCACCTCCCCTTGTTAATCAAGCCTACTGTCAGTGTTACGTTTCAGATAGTTGGCATTTGGATTGCTCAATGTAGAATATTCACTGAATCAAATGAGCAGAACGTTTCTGATCCCATGTGTTGTTTTTTTGTTGGTGATGCAGACAAGGCTTTTTTTTTTCATCACAAGAAGTGCAACATGTTCCCTTTTTCTACTTTTTATTACTGGTTTTCATCCCACTTCCCCATCCACCTAAACAACAGCAGTTGTTCAGAACCACAATAAAAGACCCTTGATAATCGCCTCTTTTGCAGCAAGCCAGCATTGTAACATAAAAAAGTAGACGATCTCTGCAAGGCACAGATGTTCTATCAGGCTTTTTGTTGTTACCATAACAAATCCTCCACACACACACACACACACACACACACACACACACACACACACACACACACACACACACACACACACACTGGCCCTATTCTTGGGCAAGAAATAGTTTGACTTGTTAACTCCATCCAAAAGGGCAAATTGACATTTTCAGACCTTGTTTATTTTGGGATTAAACAAATGAGATGTAGAATTTTAATCCACAAGCTTCCGAGGTTAGGATTTTGTTAGTGTTTGATAGCTAAGATAAACTAAACTAAGCTAAACTAAACTAAACTAAACTAAGGTGAACTAATTAATGTATTTCCCTATGTATGTTGAACTCTTCCATTCTTTTATATTATGCTGTGTCCTGGTCCCACCCTTGTTAGGTTGCTACGTGAGCATGAGTTTTATTATCTCTCTCTCTCTCTCTCTCTCTCTCTCTCTCTCTCTCTCTCTCTCTCTCTCTCTCTCTCCAGTGTTTCTCTTGCATTTCTCTGGAAGCAGTACCTGCATGCTGCTGCCAGAACGTCACAGCTGTCGATCAAGTCAGATGTTTGTGCTGTATATCTTGCTCTAGTCCTTAGTTCTTAGTTTAAGCAGTTACAGCCTCCCAGGAGCTTTTGTTTCCTGCTGCTTCAGTTTCTGACTTCAGTATTTTTGCTTACTTTCTCCTGATTCTGCATTTGGGTTATTCCTTGTGTCATGGCATCTTCAAAAGATAGCCCTGTCTACAAATGTCAAATCTGCAACCAGAAACCTTAAAAAGTGTAATATTTGACAGTGACACTTTATTATTTTTTAAAACTGTACAAAAGTCATTAAATTGTGTTGTTATCAAATGCAGCTCTGTCATTGTTTTAGCCTCTGGTTACCAGTACGTTTCAGTATCAGTGTATCTTTACACTGATTACCTTTAAAGCACTCCATGGTTTAGCTGAACTTGAGCTCCCCTATAAGTCTGAGCACAGCCTTGGGATCCTCAGGCTGTCCTGGCAACTCTGGAACTCCTTGCCTGAAGAGCTGATGCTGAAGAATCATTGACATCTTTTAAATCAGCTTTTTGAAAAGGGGTTTTATTAATGGTTGCACACTATTTTTTTGTACCTATTACTGTTTTTATCTTCTTTTATTGTTAGGTGTATTATTTTTTGTATTGACTGACTTTATCTGCCTAATTAGAGTCCTAAATGTTTATGTTTTAATCCTGGTTCACATAAAGTACTTGCAACTTTGTTTTGAATAAATAAAGTATATCATTATCATTATCATTATTAGTAATAGTTCATCACATCATGTCAAGATTTCAACTAAAGTTAAACTACAGTGTTGTTACTTATGCTCGCCCTCTGTTTTTATGCATAACCAACACTGTGTGAAGCATGTTTTGATTTGAAGCAGCACAGGGGCTTATTTCCTGTGTCATATCTATATTTGAAAGACTTAAAAAGCTTGATAAATAAATCTGTATAAGTTTCAGGTCATTACAAGAACAAAAAACGTATTCCTGGGTTTATCCATACCTTTTTTCCCTTCAAACTGATTTTATTTTAGAACACAAATCTTTCACTGTCTAAATAACTGCTCTAATGTATCTGCTGGCATCAAAATTGTTTTGCACAAATGTAAACCTAAAGATTACACGTTGAACAAATGTTTGCTCGCTCCGGAACAAGGACAGTGTGGGGGTTCTGTAAATAATCTGAGAGAGCTCTAAAGGTGCATCAATCCTTTACAAGCCAACTAATTTCACTGCAGCATTTCATTATCAAGTTATGGTGTCCATAATTGACTCAGTGTACTATGAGTACTGTTCACTGTGTCTGCACCAAATTCAGAAAATTGAAGATAATAACTTCAGCCGGAGACTTGCAAGACAATTTTCTAGATAATAGTTTTGGTGCTTAGTGTACAATTTTCATTTTTACTTTTGGAGATCGTTGAGTCTTGTATTTTGAATGTACCTCCTGTTCAGTTCAGTTCAAATCAAATTTTGATTGTGCCACATCAGTAAAATGTTTTTATAGAGGTAGCATAAACAAAATTGCCATTACAAACATAAAATATAAACACAATCAAAAAAGGACAACCATAGACATAAAAAGTGTATTTTGTAAAGCATATTTGTTTTCTGGGAGAGCAGATTCTGAATAATGTATCACCTAAGAAAAAGTGCTGCTGTGGGTAAGTTGATAGAAAACTCATGTTCACAATTTGTGTGTCAAACCACACTGTTGCATTTGACCTGCAGCCTTCTCGTGTCTCACTGCACTGTAAGGCTGCATGGCTGCTTATCAGATGCAACACTGGCATACCCCAAGGTGAAACGTTCTGTTCACCCTCTACACCTCTGACTACACCACCACATCCTCCTGTGCCAAATATAATTTGCCCTGGAAATCATTAAAGGAACACTTTATATTTTCTTTCCGTATTGCTCACCAGATATATTTGATAACAGGATAGCAAAAAGCAGAACACACACACACATATATATATGCTTTATTGCCTTTTATTGTTATGGCTGCAATTCAACTGAATTGTGTATAACAATCTGAGACTATGCTCCCACAATATGTGCTTATAAATGTAAGTTACTGCAAACTACTCTTTAAGATCTGCACACAATGTACTTTATAATAGATTCCTTGGTAAATCTACAGAGTAAAGATTTTTTTTAAAAACACAGTCAACAGCAACAAGAGTCTCCAGATGTTGTTCCCTCTGGAAATATGCAGTCATATCGAGGAGGGAAAATCATCCTCATTAACAGAAGATCACTGACATAGAAAAGTTCATTAACCTGTGTACTTCAACAAAACCACCAGTTACTGCCCCAGGCAGCCGATATTTATGCAGCCATGGCATTTGGATGTGTCTGGATCTGCCCGGATCAAAATTCATTAGGGATGAGTTTACGAGACATTACTGCCTTCCTGTAGTCATATAAAGTAAAAACCCTGCACTTACAATGCCGTCAATATGCTAAAGGTGCACCCAACAACACCAGCTCTGAATGCACTGTAGTTACTTTGGCTCAGTCCTTACAGTCATATCACTGCCCAGACACAGATGTGGCCTTATATAGACAAAACAAAACTTTAGGAACAAGCTTGCTAACAACGGGCAAACGATTTCCAGTGTGAGAGTTGCTCAGCTGGGTTGGGAAAGTTTGATAATATGGTTAAACAAGCAACTTTTTGTTCATATGCACCATTGCTCTACATGAGCAGCAGTAGGCTATATATTTGAGCAATCAATATAATTTCCTTGTAATAATTAACAGAATTTCCCAAAACAGGTGCTCATTCTGAACAGACGAGCCCCCACTTGTCACAAACCGGGCCATATGGCCATGACAAAAGGAGGAGACACACACCACAAAGCCAATTAACAAATTAAATAAGACAAGCCACACAACCAGGAACAGGAAGACAAGGTGGAGTGGGTCGTCACAAGGAAGATACATACTTAACGATCATTCGTACACAAAACACTGGAAGCTGACATTAATCTGACGGTGTTTTATCTTCTAAAAGTACATTTACTCAAGCAATGTACTTCAGTAGATTTTTTAGGTACTTTAGGTACTTTACTTGAGTAATTGTGAAAACCTACTTGGCGATAAAAGCGATTCTAATTTTAATTCGATATGAAGCACCTTTATTCTTCTAATACACTACATTTTAGACACAAATAATACATTTTTACTTTTCTTACTTTGCAAATATAATCAACAAATAAGGTGTGATGTAAATGAACCCTTAGATGCATGAGTGACTGGACCCTACACTCTTCCATAAGTGGGTCAAAAATGACCCGTATTAGAATCAATGGCCTTTTATGCCATTTTTGTCATTTTAGTTCAGAATAATCATTGGTATTATACTTTGTATTATATGTGTATGATACATGTATCAGATCTTGCTGTGTAAAATAATATTCTTAAGGGGTGACACTTATGATATAGTCTGTGTGGTCCACAAAATACATATTCCTGACAGTCACAGTTGATAAGAATCGAAGATTCCCATGAAATCCCAGAAGAAATGAATGCGGGTCCTTTTTGACTCACTTATGGAAGCTTGGGGTAGAAATACAAATTCAAATACAAAAATACAATTTCGAAAAATGTATAAAAGGTAAGTTAAAAATTAAAATGGCATTATATCAATAACATGTTTTTTGAGGAATACCTGGAATATGAAACAATAACAACTTTTCATTACAAAGATATTGCAAGAAAACGACCTCACCGGGTCATTTTAGACCCACTTATGCATCTAAGGGTTAAGCTACCCAGCAGCATACACGTGTTCAATTAATTCCCTCTTTACCAGCTGCAACATTCAAGTTCAAAAATTCTAATCCAATAATATAATATACTGTATATTATTCTGAAATTGGTCATTCTGCAAAATGAGTTCTTTTACTTTTGGTACTTTAACTTCATTTTGCTCCTATTACGTACTTTTAGTTGAACAAAACTTTGGAATGCAGCAGGACTTTTACATGTAACAGAACTGAGCACTTCTTCCACCACAGTTTGGCCCTATGTTTCACTATCTATTGCATTCAGAGCTCTTTAAAAAAAAGAAAGAAACCCATCACAGCCAACAGCAAAGTCTTTCCAGATGTTGTTCCAGTTTGAGGCGGATCGAGGAGGCATAGGGCAAACAATCATAATAAGCTGGAGATCACATGGAAGATTTAAATAACCTGTGTAGCTCAAGTTCAACGCCAGCACCGTCAGGTCTCGGCTTGTACATTTTTGCATCCGTGGTATTCGGATCTTTCTTCTCTCCAGCGGCCCAGCGCGCGTCCCCGCATGCGCATGCGTCCATGTGCTGGGAGGAAAAAAGGGAACGCGCTGTAACAGTGAGAAAGCGTTCCAGTAAACCGCTATATCTGCGTGAGGACTTCATACCCGCCACGCCAACAGTAAACTACTCTCCGCGGTTCTTGCTTTCACTATATTTCTTCAGAGGGATGAGCTTTAATGCTCACGCCACATCCTCGCTTCTGTCCGTGTGTGCGCTTTGCTGGCGGACGCATATTTCTCGTTTTCCCACGCAGTGATTATCACCAAAAGCAACGTGAACTTGGTGGCAACATCACTGTACAGGACAACAGGCTCGCTCCACGGATTAAACCTCATCTGTCGGGCAGCAGTGCTGGTGAGTAGCACTGTTAAAACCCTACCCGAGGTAACATGCAGCGGGGAGCCTGTGTGTGTGTGTGTGTGTGTGTGTGTGTGTTAGGAGTTTTTGTACATATTTGTAAGGGAGGCATGACACACTGATCTGGTGTAACTGGTCCCCACTGGATCACAAGATATCCAATTTAATTTGTGTGGCACGAGTCTTGATTTGTCTATTTGTGTCAGTGTGCTTACCTTTCCGTTTGGTTTGGTTGGATGGATGGATAGGCCTTCACTGTGCACTGTAGACTGGGATGGAAAAGGCTTGGCTGCATTATGTTCATGAAGGATAATGACATATTCTTGAATGTATTCAACCACGGACAGTTATTATGTTCCCTGTGATCAGTGGCAATGAATCTAACTTGAAGAGGAATTGAAGTTACAGTCTGACACTAAACCAGAGCCTCGTGGCATTGTTTCTCAGAAACTCTAATAATCAGGAAATGTTAAGTTATGACGTTCACTGAATCAATACTGCTTCTCCGATTATCCAAAAAGGTGCCCAGGCTTGGATTTTAGTTCAGTTGGATATTTTGAGACAATGTCACACTAACTAACACATTTTAAAGAAAGCTTACTCATAAACAATTCCAAAAACTAAGTGGCAGTGGGATCAGTTTTAATAGTCAAAGTGTTTATTAACAAGTGAAAAAAAATATCACAGCATTGATATTAATAAACCCAGCAAACTCAAGGGGAAACTGTAACATTTATATGAAAACCTACGCATCCTAGTCATATATGAACTGAGATGATCTTTTATACATATTGGTCAACTCAAAATGACCTTTTATTGTTTTGGACAGTTTAATCAGTATAAGATCATCATTTACATTACTAAATACAGTCACTGTTCAAGTGTTCCGGTGTTAACATATATCACTAAAAAGTTAATGTATTGTGGTACAAGCTACATGCAGTGATACACTACTCTTTGAAGAGTCTCCTGCTCATCTTGCATCCACAGCGGAAACTTACGGTAGAGCGTTTCCTGTAGATAAGCTTGCATGTCCAACCTTCAGTTTAGTAAGAGTTGGTGGTGGTTTGTTGATGTGAGCAAGGAGCTGGACAGTAGGGCTGGGCGATATGGCTGAAAACTGTATAAGTGTTTCATATCAGTCGATATCGAGAATTATTGATTCGTTTTTTTAACCTATTCTAAATGAGGACCAGGAGAAAAAAAGGTTGAGTTTAAATACTTTTATTTTAAATGTAACCTTTAACCTTTATAAAGAGGTCAACACAACCATGAAAAACAGTCAAATAAATAAACATACTGGTCAATGTGCAAATATAGACATTAAATACATGCTTAATCCAACAAAATGTGCAAAGTATTTTGTAAATAAAAAATTGTACACCTGAGGTAGAACTAACCTCTTTGACATGTAACAAACAGTAATATGTCAGTATCAAACCAGCATAAAATTATAAAAATAACACAACAACATGGTTTCACTGCAAGGAAAACTGTTTCATGTAAAGCTTGATGAAAGTGCTTTCGGCCTGGTAGAATGTAACGGGGGTCAAGCACATAAGCATGAGATTCTTGTACCCAGACTTCTCAACTGTTCTGAGCGGGAGCATGTCCTTAGCTAAATGATACGCCATTGCATCCGTTATATCTTTATATTGCTTTGATGTTTTGTGGTATGGCACATGCTGCCGTGTACCTCTCGATGGTGGTCTGTTGCCGCTTGTGTGTTGTTCCACTTGTACCGGCAGATGTCGATGGCTGTGGCTGTGGCTCTTTGAGACTGCTGTACTCCAGCGGATGAGAGCGGCTGAGGTGTTAAAATAAATTTGTCGTGTTGCCAGACTTGGCAGGGACAACGACCTTGCAAAGTTTGTAGACAACATCGGTCTGACTCTTGTCTGACTTAAAATAACCAAAATATTGCCAAACTGACCTTTCCTTTTTTATCTACAATTTCCTCCTGCGCTGTTGCACTCATATTCTCCTTTCAGTCCACGCCGTTCTTTTGTTGTTGTTGTTGTTGTTGTTGATGCCACCAACCTGGCTAAGCTGGGCTGTGATAGGTAGAGAGGCTAAAGCCCTTCCTCTGCCTACATCCCCCAGAATGACTTGCGGTTCTGGCTCGGGGTTTTCTTCCTATTTTTCTCTAACAGAGTTCAAGTGAAATTATCGAACATTCTATCGAACGTATTTTCTATTGATATTGATCACGTGTCTATCGCGATAGATATCGTTATCGTTTTATTGCCCAGCCCTACTGGACAGCAGTTAAAGTCTGCAAAATGCACCTTGATTGCAGTTGGACTGAATTAATAACATAATAACTTATACTGTACGATACATAAACATTACTAGAGATAATGTTTATAAAGTTTGCTGCTAACCTAGTGAACACATGTGTTCTCACCAAATTACTATACTATATATATATAAACCTTACATTACTTCATTGTATATTAGGCAGAAGCTTGGTGTTTGCTGGCGCCAATGAGACTGAAAATGGGACTGTATTTTAACATTAGACATGCTAATGAATAGCCTAATGCTAACACACACATAACAGCAAATGCAGCCACATTACAGTAATTCATGTAACTGAGCAGCTCTCAGCAGATATGAGAATGAAAACAAGATGGCTCACTCGTTAGCTACTTCCATCATCAGAAAATAAACAATGTATGTAATTCAGAATGTTACAGACACAGTTTAAAGTATTCTTGATGCATTTGTGAGACAACCATGGACCATATGTGTATTTGTACAAAAATGTACAAATCCGATTAAATCAAAATGTAGTATCTTATTTCCTGCCCACCTCTCTTGAGTCGCACATTGGCGGTACAGATCGGGAAGGAGATACACATGCACGGTACTGATCAGGCAGAAAGTATGCATCATCCTCCGCCATGGTGAACAGCTTCTGCCTCCAGACAGGGCCTTTCGCAAGTAGCATAGTTTCTCTAACACACCTGGAACGGGAGGGTGTGGCAAGGGCGTTGTAATCCGCAACTAAACCACTAGATACCACTACATCTTACACACAGTTCTTTCAGTTACAAGATAAAACGTATCTCTTTTACCACAGGCTGGTGCAATGTTTGGCAGTTTGAATATAACATTTTATTTAGGGGAGGGCTTAACTCTGCCTCATTAAATGTAAATTATTTAGTGTTCTTTGTCAACTGAAAAGTTGCTTGCATTGCAGAGAAGTGCTTAATTAAAAATTTGGGGGGGGCTTTTATTGCCTTTATTACAATAAAAAATAGCTAAAATGGTTGTTCAAAGTATAATTTAAAATATTATGGTGGGAAAGTTGGCAGGCACATTGAGACAGTATTAATTAAATGTTTATTGGTGTTGAAAACATAATCCAAAAATGTTAGTTCAATTGGATTTTTTCAACATATGAACTGTGGTAAAATTGTTGATGGTGCCACCAAGTTGTTAAATATATTATTAATATTGACTTAATTTCTTTTATAAATATTTTTTTTTTCAGGCTGCTGTATTTACTCACTGTCGCAGCAGATACGCAAGAAAGAACATACATGTAGGCAAGTGCACAGATGTTAATTTAATGGGGCTTAGAGATGTTTTGCACATGGCAACTTGTAGCAAATTAGCTGAAAGACCACAACATGCCCTTTGCAGTTATGACTCAGTCCTGCTTGAATCAATCAATCTGTCTTAAAAACTCTGATGAATACACATCTGCCCTCAAAACATTCATCTCAGGGAAATGTAATCAGACTCTAGTACGCCGGTCACTGCAGTGAAGGCCTCTATAAGTCCTTGGGGGACATCTTGTTATTGAGTTTAGTCACATTTAGCCCAATAAGAGTACATTTCATAAATTGTGAATATTTACAATAGTAACTGATGACAAGGGCCTTTTACTAGACCTCAGTTTTGTAGTGGAATCACATTATTTCAGTTTAATAATGTGATGAATAAATGTGTTGATTTGTTTACTTGGAGAGTGCAAGACACAAGGAGGAGGAGGACCCACAGCTTTTTTATTTTGCCTCAAGATCCCCAAAGGGGCTTATCCATCCTTATCCATTATTAATTATAAGAATGGCTATTTTAATGAGAAGTTTTTCTCTGTCAATTTATATCTAATGGTAAAAATCTCCTTACATGAGTTGTCAGATTTTTAACCCAACAATAGTGGTTCTTAACATCAACAACAAAAATAAACAATGATAAGGCACTGCATGTGTTGCTTTTTGAAAGTCACATCCCATTGAATATGGAATTGATTATAATGTTATTCTGTTTACTTTCACTTCTCATATTCCGGGCCTTTCACTGCCATACACACACACACGGGGGAAATTACTTTCGTTACAACTATACAACATATAATATATAATAAAACCCTGCATACCATCCCAAGGTTAACAGTAAAAAACAAATGAGGCTTGCTGCTGCAGTTCCCACCCTCCAGAGTAAATTAGTCACTGTCTTTATTCAAGTTTGATCTAATCTCACTATTACACAGTTGAATTGTTTCTTATCTTGTGTGGTATTACTTTGTTTGTGTAACACACTTTGTAACTATGTAACTTCTTATCATATTTGCAGAGTTCAGTATGCTGTCATTGTCTTTCTTACTGCATTGCTATTGTGGTGAGATGCCTTCTTGTTCTTTGATTACAGGGATAGTACATGCACAACAACTACCTATAGTTGCGTCACAATGTGCGGTCCTTTGCAGTTAGGAAGGACCGCAAAGCCCCAAAAAAAGGAATCTTGGTTCAATATGTTAGTGTGTGAACCGTCTGTGATGACCAAATGGAAATGGTCAGCTTCTGCCAAAATACAACTGAGCAAACGTTCTCCATAATTATGACCAGACTGATTTCCAAAGTAGTGAGTAGGGCAAACATACTGAGTCACTAAAGAGTTTCCTGGATGTGTGCTGACACACACACACACACACACACACACACACACACACACACACACACACACACACACACACACACACATAA